TTGGCACTTGAGCCTTAAAGCCTTTCATCTGGACCTGTAGCTCTTTTTCCACTGCTCAGCACTTTGTTCCGATTCAGAAAGGGTCCTCTCAGCAGCTTTCGATGTCGCACCAGAGACAGAAGTAAGGTCTTAAACTTGAGAAGCCAACCAACAGCCCTTTTAAGACGGAACCAGGAGGAAAAGTAATCAATGAGCCTCTCCACTGGACTGACCTGCTCAACCTGAGCCGCATCACCATCACAGCCTTGACCTCCGGGTCTCCAATCAGAGTATTTTCCAAGGTCTCAGGATTTTGGGGCCAACTGCTCTCAGGCTCATGAAGGAAGTCAGGACCACGGAGCCATGCACCAGTCTTTAGAAATAACTGAACTTTAACGCCTCTGGAGGCTAGATCTGCAGGGTTGGCTAACGTATTCACGTACCTCCATTGGGATACATTAGATATTTTCAATATTTCAGACACTCTGTTTGATACGAAGATTTTAAATCTGGACGTCTCGTTGTTTATATATTTCAAAACAGAAGTGCTGTCTGTCCAAAAGACAGACTCTTGAAGGTCCATTTGCAACTCCTTCCTCCACAACTTGTCCATTCTGCTAGCCATCACCGCGGCAGTCAGCTCCATCCGAGGAATGGTGACAAGTTTTAAAGGAGCTACTCGTGCCTTTCCCATTATGAATACACTGTGAGTTCGCCCGCTATCATCATGGAGCAACAGGTAAGTCACAGTCCCAAACCCTTCCTCACTTGCGTCTGCAAAGTGATGAAGTTGAGCAGAGACAAGAAAACCAAAGTCCACAGGTTTTAAACATCTACTAACTTCCCAACTTTCAAGCTCATGAAGCTCTTCCAACCAAGCCGTCCATTCTCTAATCACTGAAGAGGGCAAAGGTTCGTCCCATCCCAAACGTCTCCTACAGAGGTCTTGAAGGATTTTCTTGGCAGACAAAACAACAGGTGCCAAGAAACCAAGAGGGTCATAGATCGAACTAGTCACAGACAAGATTCCTCTTCTTGTGAGTGGGTGAGTTTTAAGCGTAATTTTAAACTTGAATGAGTCAGATTGGACACACCACTGTACACCCAAAACATACTCTACAGGCAGAGCGTCACTATTTAAATCCAGATCTTTCACCTCCTTGGCGAGCTCATCCTGAGGAATAGTAGCGAGAACAGAGCGTCGGTTACTAACCCATTTTGTGAGCTTAAAACCACCTTCCGCACACAAGGCACTAAGCTCTCGACATAAAGAAACTGCTTCCTCTTCAGAGCCAACAGACACCAGACAATCATCAACGTAGAAATGGTGCAAGACCGTGTTAACTGCATTAGAACTGAAGCACTTTTGATTGTCTTCAGCACACTTCCTCAGGGCAAAACAGGCACAACTGGGAGAGGAAGTAGCACCAAACAGGTGTACCGTCATTCTATACTCCACCAGCTCCCGACTGCAATCTCCATCAGGCCACCACAAGAATCTTAACAGATCAGAGTCTTCAGCCGGCACTCTGACCTGATGATACATGGCCTCAATATCTCCCATGAGCACTACAGGTTCTTTACGGAATCGTGTAAGCACTCCCACTAACAAGTTCGTGAGATCTGGTCCCTGAAGAAGCTGTGAGTTCAACGATGTCCCCTGAAACGTAACTCCACAATCAAAGACTACCCGCAGTTTCTTCTTCTTAGAATGATACACCCCATGATGAGGTATATACCATACCCTTCCATCACAACGGGTCAACTGCTCGGTTGGAACTCTCTCTGCATAGCCGTTAACCAACATCTTAGACATGAATGCGATGTAATCAGAGCGAAAAGATGGATCCTTATTCAAACGTCTTTTAAGACTCAATGCACGCTGTTGTGCCACTGTCTTATTGTTTGGCATTTTGAGGTGTCTTTGCTTCACCGGCAAACCAATACTATAATGACCATCAATGAGCTTAGTAGACTCTGAGACCAACTCAATGAAGCGCTTATCCTCCACTGACAGACCAGGTTGTTCATCCTGCAGAGTTTCAGGGAAATCTACCTTCAACTGCTTCTCCCAAAGCTCATCAAGCCTCGCCACCGAGATCCGATTGACTGTGATGTCAGGCTGCAAACATTGTTCACTGATATGACAATCTCCATGGAGCGGGCCATTCACCGTCCAACCCAAGATGGTCTTAATCGCATAAGGGCCCCCGTTCTCTGCACGAATCACCTCCCACGGCTCCAAAGCTTGAGGAACGTTAGTGCCAATCAGAAGATCCACATCAGAATTGATCTCTGGTATTTTTATGTGTCTTAGGTGCGGCCATCTTTGAAGGTCTTTTGAGCTTGGAATGTTACCTCGATGAACCGGCATGTTCTGCTGAGTAAAAATCTCAGACAGGCCACAGAAGTTGTTCGAGTCCAGCCCGGCGACTTCCAAGTCTGACAACTTGTAACTGTCTACCACTTTCTCTTGTCCCATAGTCCTAAGGAGAATTCCCAACTTCTTCCCTGTAAGATTGAGCCGAGTCATGAGTCGCTCTGTACAAAACGAGGCGGTACTCCCTGGGTCCAAAAACGCATATGTGACCAAGATCTCCTGACCCCTCTTAGATTTCACTTGAACAGGCAAGATAGAGAGCGTACAGTCCTGCTTACCGGCCCCAGTCAAGCCACTAGACTGAACAGACACCACAGCACCGTCTCTGGCCATATTCAAGCCACCATTGGCCTGAGTCGGACTCGTTGGTTTTGCTGTGGGGTAGATATGCAACAACGTGGGATGCTTATTATTGCATACTTTACATGTCATACGTTTTCGGCAGTCTTTACTCATGTGTCCGACGCACAGACATCCAAAACACATACGGTTCTCCTTCAAAAAGGAAATTTTCTCATCTTGTGTTCTTTTATCCAAACTAAAACAAACATCTAACAAATGCCCAGCCCCACAAAACAAACAAACTTTCACTAGTGAGTTCTTCTCCTTTTTAAACCCAGGCTCCACCTTATTCTCAGCAGGTGCTACAGTAGTAGCGAAACTACTGCCTCTGGCTTTTGAACGAGGTTGAGACTGGACCATTTTTACTTCATTTCTTCCACTCGCAGAGGTCTCTTGTATATTTCCAAAAAGAGGGTCACTCGCCATCTTGACTTGCCTCTCAACAAACTTCACAATATCTGAGAACATAGCTCTGCGATGAGACTTCTCATGAATATCGCAGGCCACACTTCTCCAATAATCTCTCAGCTTATAAGGCAGTTTTTTCACAATGATTTGCATATTCGTAGGTACGTTCAGATCACTTGCAGAAACTCCCATAGAGTTGCAGCATTCCCGCAACAATAAACTGTAGGCCCGTAAAGCCTTGACATCTTCGGCCTTAAGCATCGGCCAGGAAAGCACCTTGTCCATATAGGCAGAAGCTACCTTAAATGGATCACCAAAATGCTCCTGAAGTAGTGATTTTGCCTTACTATAACCATGGGACGGAGGCAGATGTTGACAACTTCGGATCAAATCCCTGGGCTGACCTCTCGTATACTGTTCGAGGTAATACAAACAATCCGTCTGACTTTGCGTTCTCGCCTCAATGTTGTGTTCAAATCCTCTTATGAAGGTTTGATACTGCAGTGGATCTCCATCAAAAACTTGTAGATCTCGCTTAGGTAAGAGAAAAAGTGACTGTTGTCCAACCAATAAAGACGTGATTTGATTTTGCCTTTCTAAAACTGTGAGAAAACGCTGATCAGAATTATTCACGGTTACAGGTGCATCTCCATACAGAAAGTTAGTAATAGATGGATGAGAAACACCTTCTGGCAAAGTATGCTGATCAACCCCAGTCACAGCAGCAGGCAGACTATGCAAAGTGGACTGACCGGCCGAGGTCACAACAGCAGGCAACTGGCTTTTGTTGTATGTCTTGGACCTCACAGAAGCGAAACTTCCCCTATCGCCTCTGCAGCCAATGGTTGAGTGTTGAATTCCAGCACAAATATTGGAGCTTCATGGCTCAACTGTGTACTTTTCCCTCTTTTCAAATAAGAGTTCATCCCATCTGATTTCACAGAAACATGAGACACGCAAGATCCTTCTGAAGCCTTGAACACACTCACTTTAGCCATAGACGCTGCCAGCTCCATGTCCATCTCCAGCACCTCCTGCTTTCTCCTCAACAGTTCCTGCTGTTCCTCCAGGGCATGCTTTTTACTCAGCAGCTTTTGACGAACCATAAGGGCAGCAGTCTCAGCCTCAGCTCTTATTCTGGCTGATGATGTAGTAGACAGAGGTTTACTCACTACTGTACTGAATCTCTTTGACCTCAATGACACATTGGAAACACTATCACTTGGCCTAACGTCATCTTCTGCATTTTCCACAGTTTTGACTATGCATGGCTCATTATCGCTGAAAACAGCAGATCCTAAACATGGTGCAACAACGCCCTCTGCTGGTGCCTCTGGCGCCTCCAGCAGCCATTTATTAGTCTCCTCCACAAAAGCAGTTTTATGTTCTTCAACACTATAAAACCAAGCATTTTGTTTTTCTTGTTCCTCAGGTAGAAGCATAGGAACAACAACGCCATGGAGATGACTTGCTTCTGTTAACAAACTCGACAAACTTTCAAGACAAGACCGTATTTTTTTGCATTTCCAACACTTTTCATTAGGTCTTTAATTTCTCTTATTGCATCTTTAATTTTTCTTACTTTTACTTGACGTTCTTCTTGGAGCTGCTCCAATTTATATTCAAAAGCCTTGGGTGTAAGTTTTGTTTGTCTTTTCTCAATTGACCTGGAACCATTCAACTCCATTTTCGTTTACAAAATAATCCAATAATCTGCTAATGCTAAAACTGCAAAGTATCTGCTAATGACATGCTAAACAGCGCCCTAATGACTTATATCATATTTCATGACACATACCATGTGAACAAGGTACAATGTGTTGTCTTTGATTCCCTCTAACTTATTCACTGAAGCTAAACTAACTCAACCCTAGTCTTCTGTGCATACTAGCGGTGGGTATTTATGTACCTAAATACCGATAGTCTTGAACCAGACTGACCGTCTTAGAACCAGAACCACGGCGGCACTCCCAAGCGCAATGCTTCACCCGCTTGACGCACGAACCAAAATACTACAAAAAGTCCCAAAACAAACAAACAGTACAATCACCTTATGCGAAAGTACCGCTGAGCCTAGCAGGGAATACAATTGGTCCTTAACAGACAATCCACAAAGTTCAATGTTTTATACCTTGTGATAAAGACGACTGCTTGACAAAATGAGCATAGTAATCAGCCAATTTGTGAATGAATGGGCTTACGTGAGTCCTAAAGCGCTGGCTGTCTATCGCTTACAACATGGAAAGCGATTGCAAACATCCAGTGTAGTCCCGACAATACGTTTGAATCAGCGCAACAACAACTTTCTGTTGACACAATATTGCGGCGTATACCACTAAACAAACAGACCAGACCCACCAAAACAACTAAAACGCCACAGCAGGCTGAAACATGAGGATTTACACTGAAGACGCGTCACGCTGAACCATCGTACATATTGAGTCTCTTTATTACGCTATTTCACATACATAGAAAACCAATCACTTACTTTGAGTGATGCATGTTGTAAGTAGTGCAAAAGGTACCTCAGAGACATCAGTGAAAGATGTTGACGACGATGGTAACGGTCAACAGAAAGTTCTTCCCCGTGCTCACCCTGCAGCCATGATCAACCCAAGCTTCCTCACAGGTGAACACACACACACACACACACATTAATACAGACACCACGCCCCCGGTCACACCCACAGTAACTGATGACGTGACGATGCGCGTGCATGTACACTACAGTGCAAAGAAAAGAGAGGAAACCCAATAAAAACTCAAACAAACCCAGTGTATGGCTCCTACATTGATGAAGTCAAGTCAAGCTGCAGTCGGTTGGAGAAAATGAAGAGATGGGAGCAAATGCTGTTTTGGCCAGACTGGCTGCTATGGCTGTTTGAGTGCAGAGGAGAAGAGTGAGAGAGAGTTTGATTGGAGTGAATCCAGAGCGTTGTCTCACCGACTGCACCGGAGAACCTACAGTGCTGCAGGACCCAACTCGCTGTGGCACATAGATGGGAACCACAAACTCATCAGGTACATGCGGATGATAAATTAGTTACAGTGAGACTAAACACTCAACTAACAGAATCATTTACAGGGCTCTTCAGTGCAAGCTTTCACTTTAAGAGTGAATATTCTGCATGCAAATATGAATTTGTTTTTGCCGTACTGGTGTGCGTTACTTCTGATGAACTATGATGACATCAGAATAAACAAGCACAGATCCTGCACAGATGCATGTTGTTAGGACACAAGTTAATATTCAGGTTTCTTTCCTAGTTTATTGAACTGTCATCAGGTTTTTATAAATTGAGGTGTCCTCTGTTATGTTACTTGTAATTATGAGATGTTTTCTGCGTGTCTGTTTTGTATTATTGATGCACTGACGTTACATGACAGTGTTTCCCATACATAATGTATTTGTGGTGGTCCGCCACAATATCAACGCTGACTGCCACAAATTGACGATTATTTAATTATTTGTACTATTTGAAATGGATCCGTGGTATTTGACTGTAGAGTTGCGTGCAGTGCATGTATTCGCTCAGCACCTCGCTACCTCCCCCCCTCTCTCACAAACACATTGACAACTGAACCGTCTGTAAACAGCTGCTCCTCTTTGTGCAGCCTGAATCAAAACATGATCATGCGCTGCAGGAAGGCTTGTTGCCAGCTTTTCCGCGCAGAGAAGATCACTGAATCCATCTGAAGCTGAATGGTCGACGTTAGTATCATAAACACGGCTGCACAAATCTGTCCAACACGACGCTGTCAATTTCTGAGACCCACCTTCAAATAAGTTATTAGTAAGCATGTATGGAGCCTAGTTATGTTAAGAATAGCCTACAGCTGGGTGGCCGAGGTTAGGACACTGTACATGGCTACTAGTCAATGTCCACTGCCCCCCCCCGGCCACAGTTACGCTGTCATCCTGTGGGAAACACTGCATTATGTACAAAATTGCACTTTGACTGCACCCCTATATTTTTGGCAGGGGTAAGCATAGTATCCTGAATTTATTAATGTAATCTTAACACAGAATAACAGCTTTTTGTTTCGTTTGTAGATGGAGAATAGTGATCCATGGCGGAATCTGTGGCTTCAGCAGGCCGGTTGTGTTTTTGCAGGCTTCAGATAATAACAGAAGTTGCACAGTGTTTGACCAGTTTGTTCAAGCCACTGCTAGGTATGGAGTCTCGAATAAGGTGTGACCATGGGGGAGAAAACAATGCTGTCTGCTTGTTCATGAACATTTACCGTGGATTAGAAAGAGGAAGTGCCATCCGGGGCAGAAGTGTCCATAACCAGCGGATGGAGAGGCTTTGGGGAGATCTCTGGAGAGGTATGACTAATGTGGACCACCAGCTTTTCACCTTCCTTGAAAATGAAAGAATCATTGACTGTACCAATGAGCTGCACTTGTGGCCGCTGCATTATGTTTACCTGCCACGGATTAACCGGGACCTGGAGGTTTTCAGGCAACAACGGAACAACCGTGGCTCGCGCCCTGTTGGCCTCGCCATATCAGATATTTGTCCAAGGACGTCTTCAGAGGCAAACACAACCGCTCACAGCCATGGCAGAGATTTTTGGATCCGACACTGCTCAACAAGGGGCTGCGGCTGCAGTTCCTGTTCTGAATTGGCAAGAAAGAGTAAAAGTTCCTGCTAACCGATTCGGTCCAAGCCGTGCACAGACGCGACAAGTCCAGGATGTGGACACTCTGGCGGGACCGATTGGTAGTCTAGCCATAGATAATGTTTTGGCCATGCCTCTGTACTGTTCGCTTGTTGTTTCCCTCTCCTGCCGGAGGACCAGTTAGTCTCTCCGTGTCAGCTAGAGGAGATACCGGTAGACCAGACCGCTCACCTGCTGTGGAGGGGGGAGTAATTGACCAGTTCAGCTTCAGTCTTCTTTACCCTCCTCTTGGCTCTCTTCTCCGCCTTGCATACACCCATTTATAATAACAGTGGCATTTATGCTCTTACAATCCCAACTGTTCTTCTTTTTGATGACAGTATATTTCTCTCTGTGTCTCAGGATTATACAACAGTTTCTTGCCAGTCTCTTTGCCAACTCTGGATTCCCTAGCTTACCTCCCCTCTCAAGGTAAGATTACATTATAATAGCTTCACAGTGTAAGGTCTAGTGGCAGTGTAAGCATTGTTTCTAATTAACATGTGGTGTGTGTCTCTCTCAGGACGGTATCCTGCACTCTAATCAAGGGGATAATGAATCCCTGAGGAATGAGAGGGTTAGATGCCGTGATAACACAGGTAAACCAAACTTAATAGAACTTAACTCAAACTTTATGTCCCTGCCACCTTTTCATTTCTTTGCAGCTCACAGATGTGTTTTTGTCAGTGTAGTTACTGGGTCAGTTGCAGAACACAGGCCCTCCTCCAGCTGATAGAGAAGATCTCTCCTCTCCCATCTGTCAGTATGAAATGTGAATGGCTGCAAGACAAAATGGATAAACTGACAGCACGTGTGTCTGATTGCAGGTTTAGAGACAAAAGTGAGTGGAGCTAACTTTACGTCCTATAAATGTAGCTACATAGCATTATTAGTGACTCCTGTTGCTGCTATTTTTATTTCTGATGCTGCTGCTATTAGTATAGATGCAGATACATGTTGAACTACGCACTTTACAATGCTCCAACCACACCATGTTCACTCCGCCTTACGGAAATAGATCTGCTCTTTTTTTTGTCTCGTCTACTGTAGTTATTGTGTTGTGTGGAGTCTTGTAAGTTGATTATTGTGATCTTGTTTTTAGTACCATGGATCATTTCGTTAATTTATGTACTCGGTGTATTGATTATTATTAGTGTATTAATGTACTGTTAGCTTTCCATTTCAGTGTTCAGAAGTCTGCAGCCCAGGGGAGATGTTTGCTGGCGCTTACTGCCTTCACTTTCCAGCAAGTAGGGAAACAACAGACTTATTATTAGCGGACACACTCTGACCTACACTGTACATTTACTGCCACACTGACAGCTTATTGCTCGTATTTTCCTCTGCTCCTCTTGCTTTCACATTCGCTTGTCATTTTCTGCTGCCTGTCACGTAGGTGTCCTTTGCAGAATGAGGAGAGGGAGCCAATTGTTAAATGTTACCGTGCTCACACTGTGCGAGTGAAAATCATTAGTTGCTTTTTTATATACAGTCTGTTAGTTGCACATTGATAATAATAACCCTGTGAAGTATCGATTTATGTACTTATTTTCCCCACCCCTAGTAACCACAGGGGTCTTGATAAACATTTCTTTTCTCCTGTAGACTGCTGTGTGCAGTGTCCAGTGCACAGAGAGAACTTCGCAGTGGGAGAGCCATTCAGACAGCTGCCCTGTAACCACTTCTTTCATTCAGAATGGATAGTACCATGGCTGGAACTGGTGAGTCATAACAAAGAGAGTTGAGCTTTTGTAAAATAAACTCACAAAACAGATCCTTAATAGCATTTAATAGTTGAGATGATATTCACAGTGCTCATTCAGGCATTAGGACCTAAAGGAATTTAGAACATGCTACCTGGTAGAAACATTTATGTGGGGTCGACTAAAAATAAACATTTCCTATTGTTTATTGTAATGAAGGAACAGTGTTTCCCAGTGCAAATACGTGACGAATTAATGTGTTCTAGGAGAGGAATGGAGGTTAATGGCACTTACAGTAACAAACAATAAGCACGTATATATATCATTTTGCCAGCTTTACCTTTAGAATTGCCTTAAAGGAATGTAAAATTACAATCAACTAAACATTATTAGATGCTAAATGCAGAATTAGTTCACCCATGTTGAAGTTGCCCTACTATACCAGTCATTTAACATTAGCAGTGTGGGATTTTGCTGAGGTATATTTGACTTACCAGACAAAGGTCACAGAACAGCCTGAGCATCGTGTGCAATAGGACTTAAATAAGGAGTCCACTAGTTATAACTCCCCATCAGAGTATCCACCCTCTACATGGACGCCGCAAACAGGAGAGATGGTCCTTCTGAGACACCTACCTTTCTCATCCCTCGTTCTCCTCGCCAAGACACAGCGCTTGTCACGTTCTCTTTGCTATCTGTGGCAGTTATAATCATCTCAGTCTGATATTTCTTTGTATTTTTGTTTAATTTATTTAATGCCTTTCTGCACCATGTAAACAGAAACCCGTACAGACGTCCTAACAGTCGATTGAGTTCAACCCCGTGTCTTCTCTACTTGCACCTCTCAAGCAACTCCATCTGCCTTGAAATGCACCGCTGCAATACGCTATTGTGGGGAAATGCCAGACTTGATATGATACCGTGTCCTCTTTACACATCAGAAAATGTGCTAAATCCTGCAGCTGAGCCCTCAGTGGCATATGGGATGGCTGTAGGGGTTACTTTCACTCTTGGCATTTACAGGCTTTGGACCTAATGTAGCCCTGCAATAAATGTTGTGTTTTTGAAGGATATAATGATATTTTTTTGTTGAGATTAGGCAGGAAGATATTGATCTCTGGTTATTCTGCTGGTGTTTTATTGGATTGCATTATAAACCCATGGGCCAATGACGGGCAATTGATGGGGTATCTTTGAAATAAAAACCTTTCTCGTGGTTGTCTAGCTCTGTGGGTGTTTTGATGTAGAGTCAGATGCAGATGGAAACATTGTAACGTTTCTGTTAATGAAATGACTTCAGTAGGCAGTTTAAATGGTATTCACACTGCTTTCTTGTTGCTGTATGATATATCCAGCTATATCAATTAAGACTTGGTCGATAATTAATCTTAAATGATGTTAGTTTCCCACCCCGAGCACCTGGTTAAAATCAGGACATTGTCATTATTTTACCATTTCATCAGGATTAAGGGTATAGGCTAGTCTATTATGCCCCCTGCTGGTCATAACTCTACATTCAATGAAAGAGGAAAGTTTCATGTTATTCCAATGGTCTGTATCCTAAACCAACATTTAGTGAGTACCACTGTTGTAACTGTGCAGCCACACAATTGTTGATGTAATGATATAAAACTAAAGATTGTTTTTATTGAAAGAGGCAGTAGTGGAGCAAAAGGAGGCCATTTATCTTAAATGATTTATAACGTTATAATTTAATGTCATAAAACCGCAATCCAGCTATTACATTTTATAGGTTACACACAAAAGGAAGAAAAGGACCAAGAAATAATAGGTATGTTAAATAGTGGCAGGCAAACCCCCCAGGCTTACAGAAATGGTTTAACCCTACTACTCTGCAGCCAATGGAAAAGTACAACACTCACCCCTTCAAACTGGGTAACTGGCCAAATGGCTCAGAATCGCAGGAAATCAACACGTTGACAGCACGTTATCAACACGTTATCAACACGTTATCAACACGTTATCAACATGTTATCAACACGTTATCAACACGTTATCAACAAGTTATCAACATGTTGACAGCACGTTATCAACAAGTTATCAACACGTTATCAACATGTTGATAACTTGTTATCAACATGTTATCAACACGTTATCAATACGTTATCAACAAGTTATCAACATGTTAACATGTTATCAACATGTTATCAACACGTTATCAATACGTTATCAACATGTTATCAACATGTTATCAACACGTTATCAACAAGTTATCAACATGTTATCAACACGTTATCAATACGTTATCAACATGTTATCAACATGTTATCAACACGTTATCAACAAGTTATCAACATGTTGATAACTTGTTATCAACACGTTATCAATACGTTATCAACAAGTTATCAACATGTTAACATGTTATCAACATGTTATCAATTCGTTATCAACATGTTATCAGCATGTTATCAACACGTTATCAATACGTTATCAACAAGTTATCAACATGTTAACATGTTATCAACATGTTATCAACACGTTATCAACAAGTTATCAACATGTTATCAACATGTTATCAATACGTTATCAACATGTTATCAACATGTTATCAACACGTTATCAACACGTTATCAACAAGTTATCAACATGTTATCAACACGTTATCAACACGTTATCAACAAGTTATCAACATGTTATCAACATGTTGACAGCACGTTATCAACATGTTATCAACACGTTATCAATACGTTATCAATACGTTATCAACAAGTTATCAACATGTTATCAACACGTTATCAACACGTTATCAACAAGTTATCAACACGTTATCAACACGTTATCAACACGTTATCAATACGTTATCAACATGTTATCAACATGTTATCAACACGTTATCAACACGTTATCAACAAGTTATCAACATGTTATCAACACGTTATCAACACGTTATCAACAAGTTATCAACAAGTTATCAACACGTTATCAACACGTTATCAACATGTTATCAACACGTTATCAACACGTTATCAACAAGTTATCAACATGTTATCAACACGTTATCAACAAGTTATCAACATGTTATCAACACGTTATCAACACGTTATCAACAAGTTATCAACACGTTATCAACAAGTTATCAACATGTTAACACGTAGTCAATGTGTTGTTAACGTGTTGTTAACATGTTGATAACGCGTGAAAAATTAACAGCTTGACAACAAGTCAACCACACGTTGTTTGCACTTTGTCCACATGTTGTCCAAAAAATCCTCCTTTATCCTGAATGAACAGAGACGAGAAGAAAGTGAATCCAGGCGCTGCGTAAAGTCGCTGTGTAAAGGGGACATTTCTTGGCGGTCGTCGCTTTAACGCTCACGTTCAGTAGGTACAGGAGAGGATGCTGGGAGCTCACCAGCGTTCTCTGCCAGGATGTGTAGAAAGAGTGAGCGCTCAAGTTCAGCATGAACCACGTTATAGTTTAGATTCACGTACCTGTGAGGATCAACATCTCTGCGTCTTCCTCTGTGATGTTCGTTCCTTTCTGAAATCAGGACAAACCCAAGCGAACAAGAAGCTCGGCCAGAAACTAGGACTTGTGTTTTGAACCTCATGTAAGCTTGTTCTGTTTTTATCATTTGAGAAATGCGGCCGAGGTGAAGTCTTTCATTTCAGCCGCAGACCGATATCCTCCCTATATACCTGTCTGAGTCAGAAATCAGTTCATCACCTACAGTTGGTCCAAAATGCTGCCGCTCGCTGCAGAAAATGTGAGCACATCAGCCCAGTGTGAGCGTCCTGCTTCCTGTTTCTTTTAGGACGTACTTTAAAATCCTTCTGATCACTTTTAAGGCCAGACATGGGCACGCACCTTCTCTGAGCTTTTATCCCCATATGAGCCAGGACGCAGACTGAGATCCTCTAGTAGGGCTCTGCTAACTGCTCCAAAGTCTAGGCTCAAAGCCAAAGGGGACAGGGTCTCTGCTGTCAGGGCCCCTACAGGCTCAGAGTCTGCTCCTGGTTTCATCTCACTTCTTAGACACATTTCTACAAAAAGCTTTCACTGTGTGACGCCTCATTTATTTTCCTTTATTGACAGATGGATTGTTTTAAAGCTCTTTGTTCCCCGTGTTGAAAAGTGCTCTACAAATAAAGCTTTTATTATACAGAGCAGGTGTGCAGTGGCTTTGGACCAGCAACGGACCAGCAACGGACCAGCAACGGACCCCTCGGCAACCGGTCCGGACCACAAGGACCGCGTGGACCACTAGTTCATATTTCTACAGACGAGACAGGAGGATGCTGGGAGAAAAGAGAGGCGGGAAGCTGAACTACCTGGTGAGGTCTGAAAATGAATCTGTGTCTGATAGATGATTCCAGCCGTCGTCGTACTTGAAACAAGTTAGCATAGCATCGCCCTGACTGAGCAGAACTCCATTTAGAAAACAAGCGTTTTAAAAGATGTTTGCTTGTCATCTTGAAGACAGACCTGACAGAGCAGGAATTCATATGTTCAACAAATCAGCATCATTTTGATCAGTTTATTGAAATGAAATCACAGCAAAATGTTTATTTTGGCTTCAAACCGCTGCAGGAAACCAGATTATTGAATTAGATCTGAGTGCATAAACAGCACTTTAATAACATAACATCTTTGAGTCCAACAGATTACTGTAAGCTTCTGATTTCCTCTGGTAACAGTTCATGACCTGTGTACTGGAACATAATGACTGCTAGTATATTGTGCTGGAGTCTACTGGTCCCTGGGTTGGTTTTACTATGTTGTCTGTTTTGTGTTGACTTGTACTGACTACAGATGAAAAACAGCCTTCTGGCTAAATCTGGCATATTTACTGAAATGTTTCAGCTTCAATGAAAAATCCAGCTTTATCTTTGAGGAATGAACAGAGAGACGAGAAAAACCAGAACCTGGAGGAAAGAGACTAAAGAAGTGGAGTTTCTGCTGAGTTCTGAGATCAACGTCTGAAGGACTCGGTACGCTTCAAACAAACTAGATCACGTGACGTCTGTTTATACCTGCTCCAAATGTCAACGCTGGAAGACAAAGATCACAGAGTCCAGATGTTTCAGAGGCCTGAACCAGGTCCACTGGAGGCCTCTGGGTTTAACTGCTGTGCTTTGATCCAGTGTGTAGTGAGGAGGAAGAGGCGCTGAATAAACAGGGACTACAAAAACACTACAGACCACATTTGTGTTCAGGCTGAACAAACCTTTGTTCTTGTGAAAGTCTGACTGAATCAAATCTTATTGTGTCTTCATTCTCTGAGTCCATTTTAACAGCTGGCTGCTTTCTGTTCTGTCACTAAATGTGTTGCTTTCTGTTTAACTTGCATCCTGCCAGGGTTGGTGCTGGAATAATCTGAGCTGGACACTTGAGACTTGGACTCGAGTCCTTTTCAATGTTCTCATTAAAGGAGTCGACACAAAGAGAAGCTTTGACTCTTCGTTTGAAACTGGACCTTCAATCAACTGTTTCCTTTCAACAAGATTTGTTGTGGCTTCAGAAAATGTGACAAATTGTGACGGGTCCAAAATCTAAAGACAGCAGCTTCCAGCATCTTCTAAATCCTGCTGCTGTAGAAAGTTCTGACATGTGGTTTAACTTGACTCTTAACTTCCTGTCAGTGGTTCTGATTTCCTGCAGCTGCTGACTTCTCTGTGTCTGTAGAAATAAAGTTTGTTTGACTGCACGCATTAGAACGAGCCACAAATATCCAGAGAGCCGCAGCTGTTATCCAGCCGCTGGGAGGTTCACAGGAAACACGCCCGTTCAAGCCATGTGACATCACGCTGACCTCACTCTGACATCACTGATCAGCAGGAATCAATAGTGAGTGTGTAGACTGTGTGTGAGAGTCAGTAGGAGGAGTCAGAGTGAAGAGAAGCTGACAAAGCGTCCTCCTGTCTTCATCCGTCCTCCATCAGCTGCTTCACCTCCATTTTCTCTCTGATCCAGAGTCAGATCGGATCAATGATCAAAGATCAAACAGATTGATCGGCCATCAGAGGAGTTGGATCAGTGGAGCCTGCTTCTCTCTGCAGAGGAGACAGAGGACAGTCAGACAGAGACAAACACAGAGACTCTGACCTCAGTCTGCATACTGACCTTTGACCCTGAGATTAACTCTTTTCTCTCTCATGAGGACTCCCTTCTTGTTTAAGACCGCAGCCGTATCGTCCTCCGTCTCTGACTGTGGGGGATTTCAGGGTCAGACTGAGGTCTCCAGTTCTCAGCAGGTCTTCCTTCATCTCTGTTCGGTCTCTGTAAACCTGGTCCTGTTGGTCAGGCTGGTCAGAGCCGTTCTGATACACGTGGACCTCTTATAGGGATCATAGTGTCCACCACACTGTAGCGTCCTCAGGCAGGTTGTCTGTGGTCTTGCAGGGCAGCAGGACAGACTCCGCCCCCTCCTCCACCTCCACCTGACAGACTGAGAGGACAACAAAGCAGAACATGAGCTGCACAGACAGCAGCAGCAGTTTGAATAACTTTATTGACAGAAGCAGATGAGAGCAGCAGCTAACAGGGGACAGAAACACAGGAAGCTGTTGGAGATGATCAGAGTCTTGATGCTGCTGGGATTGTTTTGTCCATGTGCTGCTTCACAGTAATGTCTCCTGTCAGTGTTGAGCTGCTGGACTTTTACATTTCTGGATCTAAAGCTGAACTTTGAAGAGAAGAAGCTTTCAAATGTTTTCATCTCTGTTCTGTAAATGAATCTCAGCTCCACATGTTCAACATCAGTCCAGAACACCGAGACACACAAACATCTGATCTGGATCTGATCCCAAACTGCTCTTCCTGCTTCATCAATATTTGGCCTTTTCTTCTGCCGACTCTGAGCCCACTTTTCTTTCCAAACGGCTTCAACATGATGTGAAGAGAACTGAGCATCAATCTTTCATTGATCCAAACTATTAAAGCTGCATTTCTTTGTTCTGAGTGATCAACACATTTGGTTTCTTTCAGCTTTCTTCTTGATCAATACTGGAAATCAATAACTTATTGATCTCATTCTTTCCATCCATGGAAATGATCTCCTGGATTATTCTGGTTTCCTGTTATGACGTCATTTCTGATCACCTGCTGAGCATTTTTACACTGAAATATTGGTCCTTTTATTTTTTAAAGTTACTTTGCTGGGCGCTGGATAAAAAAGCCAAAGCTGCAGGTTGCAAAGAGGTTGGAGAGTTTCTGACTGCATCAGTAATAATTTACAACACATTTGTCTGTCCTCCCCAACATCAGCTGCTCTCACTATCTCTGATATCTCTATATTTTTCAGATATTGTGCTACAGCTTTCTGTGTGTCCTTTACTCCGTCTCCTGTTGGGCCTAATAAACCTTCAAGGTTCACTTCCTTCCTGCCTGACTCATCTTTTGATTCAGCCTCATCCTCTCATCCCTGTATTTCCTACGTCTGATTGACTTTTGCCCATTAAAACAATGTTTTATTTAAGCCTGTATGATCAAACCTCAGCCTGGTTAAAACGCTCTCCTCTCTTCTGTTCCCTGAGCATTAATAGATTTTTACAAGCTGTAATATTTCCTTCCACTTTTATCCACATCCCAGCCGTCCTGCCATTTCTTCATGGTTTCTTTTCTGATTATCGCCTCAGCTTCTCCTTTTCCAAGGGCTGTATTTATGACATCGTTCGTCCCGGTTGATTCTTTAGCTGTTTTGTCTGCTCTCTCATTCCCTTTTATACCTACGTGGGCAGGTACCCAGCAGAATCTCACATCTATCCGTAGTGTCTGGAATCTAAATAAACTCTGTTGGATTTCTAGCATTAGATCTTCTCTATCAGATTTCATATTTTGAATACTATAAAGGGCTGCTAGAGAATCAACACAACACACCCCTCTGTCTGGTTTTACTTCCTCAACCCACCGCAGTCCTACAATAATCACCATCATCTCTGCCGTGTACACTGAAGCCTGATCAGGTCATCTTTTCCCAACGCTTACATTCATTGTTGCTATATATATATTCCTATTCCTCCCTCGTCCTCTTCATCTTTAGATCCGTCTGTATACATATCTAAGTAATTGTAATATTTGCTCCTTATTATGTAGCTACCAGATAAGAAACCTTTGATCCAGTTATACATTTTACCTCCAATACCCATTTTATCTCGCTGTATTAAAAGACCTCCTGCGCCTTCTCTATGCTCTCTGTTCTCTCAGCCATGTTTCTTGAATACAGATAACGTCAGGCTTTACATTTAACTGTTGCACATTTCTCTTAAATTCTTGTCCATTTGCAATCAGGCTTCTGGCGTTCCACTGAAGGAAAAAAAAGTTCATAACCCAATTATATGTTCTACCACCAATACACACCTTGGTAGATCAGTCTTTAGCTACTGTAGCTAGCCAGTCCTGTAGCTAGGTAGTGCAGAACGGCCTGAGTTAGCCTGTGGTAGCCGTTCCCTGGCATCCCCTGAGCAGCCAGGAAAGGGGGGGGGGGGGGGCTGGGTGACTGTCCGAAGGAGGAATAGTCGTAAGCATTCAAAGTCCACGGGGCATCATCAACCTGTTCACGTTTCTAACAGATTTTCCCCACTCAGCGACACACCCGCTGAGAAACCAACTCTGATCATTGGCAGCTCCATTTTGAGAAACGTGAAGTTAGCGAAGCCAGCGGCCATAGTTAAGTGCATCCCTGGGGCCAGAGCGGGCGACATTGAGTCTTATTTGAAACTGCTGGCTAAGGATAAACGCAAATACAGTAAGATTGTTATTCACGTCGGCGGTAAGGACTCCCGGTTACGCCAATCGGAGGTCACTTAGATTAATGTTGAGTCGGTGTGTACATATGCAAAAACAATGTCGGACACCGTAGTTTTCTCTGGACCCCTGCCAAATCTGACCAGTGATGACATGTATAGCCGCATGTCGTCATTCCGCCGCTGGTTGTCGAGGTGGTGTCCAGCAAACGATGTGGGCTTTGTTGATCATTGGCAGACTTTCTGGGGAAGACCTGGTCTGATTTGGAGAGACGGCATCCATCCCACTTGGGAAGGAGCAGCTCTCATTTCTAGAAATCTGGCCAAGTTTATTAGTGGACCAAATCCATGACAACCCAGAGTTGAGACCAGGAGGCAGAGTCGCAGTCTAACACACTTCTCTGCTCCTCCATTTCAGCAGTTACCCACCCAAAACCCTACGCAGAGTCGCAGTCTAACACACTTCTCTGCTCCTCCATTTCAGGAGTTACTTAATGAAAATCCTATAGTGACGGTGTCTGCCCCCCGACCATCGAAATTATTTAAATCAAAGGTAAACAGAAGAGGAGCTGTGCATAAAAACCTCATAAAAATTAAAACCACAAGAGCAATAGTGCAAACTAATAGGAAAATTAAATGTGGACTCACAATCAGATCTCTCTCTTCTAAAGTTGTACTAGTAAATGAACTAATATCAGATTATGATATTGATTTATTTTGTCTTACTGAAACCTGGCTGGGTGATGGAGAATATGTTAGCCTAAATGAATCCACCCCTCCCAGTCATATTAATACTCACATTCCTCGAGGCACAGGCCGAGGAGGTGGAGTTGCAGCTATCTTCGACTCTAGCCTACTAATCAGTTCTAAACCTAAACTAAATTATAACTCATTTGAAAGTCTTGTTCTTAGTCTTTCGCAACCAAGTTGGAAATCACTGCAACCAATTCTTTTCATTATAGTGTACCGAGCACCTGGTGCCTTAAAACGGAAAAAGTTATTATTGTAGGGGATTTTAATATTCATGTGGACGTTGAGAATGACAGCTTCAGTACTGCGTTTATCTCTTTGTTAGATTCCATTGGCTTCTCTCAGAGTGTTCATGAACCGACTCACTGTTTTAACCACACCCTCGACCTTGTTTTGGTGTATGGTATTGAAATTGAACATTTAGTGGTGTTCCCACAGAATCCCTCTTTATCTGACCACTGTTTGATAACTTTTGAGTTTGTATTGCTGAACTACACGCCATTGGGCAAAAATTTCTATACAAGATGTCTGTCTGATAGTGCTGTAATCGCGCTGCGAATAACACTCGACTCTGTAGCCCCTCTAAAAAAGAAAATACTAAAACAAAGACGGTTAGCTCCATGGTATAATACTGAAACTCATTCTGAATATTTGAAACTTGAGAGGAATTGGCGTTCCACCAAAGTGGAAAATTCTCATTTAATTTGGCAAGATAGTCTTAAAACTTATAGGAAGGCCCTCCGTAATGCCAGAGCAGCATACTACTCGTCATTAATAGAGGAAAATAGGAACAACCCAAAGTTTCTTTTCAGCACTGTAGCCAGGCTGACAGAGAGTCACAGCTCTATTGAGCCAAGTATTCCCATAGCTCTCAGTAGTTACGACTTCATGAGCTTCTTTAATGATAAAATTGTAGCTATTAGAGACAAAATTCACCAAGACCTGCCCTCAACTGGCACCAACTTATCTCTAAACTCAGGAATCTTAGAAACAGCTGTAGAACCAGATATATGTTTAGACTGTTTTGCTTCCCTCAATCTTTACCAACTAACAATAATTTCTTCATCTAAACCATCAACCTGCCTCTTAGACCCCATCCCGACTAGGTTGCTTTGATTTTTTACCCTTAGTCAGCACTTCTATGCTAGATATGATCAATCTATCTCTATCAACAGGCTATGTACCACAGTACTTTAAAGTAGCTGTAATTAAACCTCTTCTGAAAAAGCCCAACCTTGATCCAGATGTTTTAGCCAACTATAGACCTATATCTAACCTTCCATTTCTTCCATCTAAGGTTCTGGAGAAAGCAGTTGCTAAAAAGCTGTGTGACTTTCTACAGAGCAATAGTTTATTTGAGGATTTTCAGTCAGGATTTCATGAGTTCATCATTGCACAGAGACAGCACTGGTGAAAATTACTAACGACCTCCTTGCATCAGACAAAGGACTTGTCTCTGTACTGGTTTTATTAGATCTTAGTGCTGCATTTGATACCATTGACCATCAGATCCTATTGCAGAGACTGGAACATTTCATTGGCATTAAAGGAACCGCTCTAAGCTGGTTTAAGTCCTATTTATCAGATCGATTTCAGTTTGTACATGTTAACGATGAGTCCTCCATGCGCACCAAAGTTAGTCATGGAGTTGCACAAGGATCTGTCCTCGGACCAATCCTCTTCACTTTATATATGCTTCCTTTAGGCAATATTATCAGGAAATATTCCATAAACTTTCATTGTTATGCAGATGATACTCAGTTATATCTATCGATCAAGCCAGATGAAACTCACCAGTTAGCTAAACTTCAAATATGCCTTCAGGATGTTAAAACCTGGATCACCTGTAACTTTCTAATGTTAAACTCAGATAAAACTGAAGTTATTGTTCTGGGACCTAAGCACCTCCATGACGCATTATCTAAAGATATAGTTTCCCTTGATGGCATCGCCCTGGCCTCCAGCACCACTGTGAGGAATCTTGGAGTTATCTTTGATCAGGACATGTCGTTTAAGTCTCACATTAAGCTAATTTCAAGGACCGCCTTTTTCCACCTACGTAATATTGCGAAAATCAGGAACATCCTGTCTAAATATGATGAAAAACTAGTCCATGCATTTGTTACTTCTAGGCTGGATTACTGCAATTCCTTATTATCAGGCTGCTCGAAAAAGTCCATTAAGACTCTTCAGCTGATCCAGAATGCTGCAGCATGTGTTCTGACAGGAACCAGGAAAAGAGATCACATTTCTCCTGTTTTAGCTTCTCTGCATTGGCTTCCAGTAAAATCCAGAATAGAATTTAAAATCATTCTTCTTACCTACAAAGCTCTTAATGGTCAGGCACCATCTTATCTTAAAGAGCTCATAGTACCTTACTACCCCACCAGAGCACTGCGCTCCCAGAATGCAGGGTTACTTGTGGTTCCTAGAGTCTCCAAAAGTAGACTAGGAGCCAGAGCGTTCAGCTATCAAGCTCCTCTCCTGTGGAACCAGGTTCCAGTTTGGGTTCAGGAGGCAGCCACCATCTCCACATTTAAGAGTAGGCTTAAGACTTTCCTCTTTGATAAAGCTTATAGTTAGGGCTGGCTCAGGTGAGTCCTGAACCATCCCTTAGTTATGCTACTATAGGCCTAGACTGCCGGGGGATTTCCCATGATGCACTGAGCTCCTCTCTCCTCTACTTTCTCTCCCTCTGTATGCAACCTCATCCCATTATTGCATGTTACTAACACAACTTCTCCCCTTTCCGGTAGTCTTGTGCTTTCTCGTCCCTCTCCTCTCTCCTCCTATCACTTCCTGCAGGTGTTTCTGGCTCTGGAGCTGTGGAGTCTGGATCTGTGGTTGCGGGTCACCTGCTGCTCCCGTGTTCCTGCTCGACACCCTCTGCTACAACAATTATTGTTAATAGTCCTATTATTATTATTATTATTATTATTATTATAATCATTAACATTACGATTGTTATCATTAACACTACTATAGATATCTGTACCATTTTTCATTTAGTCTATAGCAACATCACCTTCACTGTCTGTACCTCTGTGTGTATATTGTGTAGGCTGCCTCCCTCCCCTCTCTCTCCTTCCATCCCTCTCTTTTTCTCTCTGTTCCTCTCCTGCTCTCTCTCTCTCTCTCTCTCTCTCTCTCTCTCACCCCAACCGGTCGAGGCAGATGGCCGCCCACCCTGAGCCATGGTTCTGCTTGAGGTTTCTGCCTCTTAAAAGGAAGTTTTAAAAGGAAGTCCCACCAAGAGCAAGTAGTGCTTGCTCTTGGTGGGAACTGTTGGGCTTCTGTAAATAGCATCACAGAGTACGGTCTAGACCTGCTCTTTCATGAAAAGCGCTGTGAGATAACTGTTGTTGTGATTTGGCGCTATATAAATAAAATTGAATTGAATTGAAATTGATGTTATCACCTAGCTTGTTTACCAGCTTGTTGGACTGTAAGTCACCTTCTACAGCTAGAGATGTGCAGATTGATCAGCTGGGGACTGAAACAGGCCATTTTGTTTTCGCTTCCCTGACCAGTAACTGGGGCCGAGCAGCTGCACTGTGTCGTGTTTCATGTGTTTGCACAGACAGTAACCTCATGTCACAGCCACACACAAAGTTCTTCACTAGAGTGAAGGAGACGCAACGCTCACTATTTAGGCTACAGCACTGACCTTTGACCTGCAGCAGGACTTGTTTCTTCATCAGGATGTCTCTCTCCCTGCTGTAGACGGTGCAGGTGTAGGTTTCTCTGTCTCTGTCTGTGGGGTATTTCAGGGTCAGACTGAGGTCTCCAGTTCTCAGCGCATTTCTCTTCATCTCTGTTCGGTCTCTGTAAAAACTGTGCTGTTCTTCAGGCTGGTCAGAGCCGTTCTTATATACGTGGAGCACATCGTTGTCTCCGTCCCTCCACTCCACTGTGCCGTCTTCAGGCAGGTGAACTGTGGCTTTGCAGGGCAGCAGTACAGACTCCACCTCTGAATCCACCTCCACCTTGTAGACTGAGAGGACAACAAAGCACAACATCAGCTGTACAGACAGCAGCAGGAACTCTGAAATATGTCCCATTGTTCCATCTAACAGAGACAGTCTTGTCTTTGGTGTCTCTACAATCAACAGCACAACTGACTGTTTATTAAATCACTGAGTATTATTGTCAGAGGGACTCAATCAAATCTTTATTAAAGTTAGAATCTGAAGGTTTTCATTAAATAAATGTCTGTTCAGTCACTGTCTATCGTCTAATGAGGTAACACAGTGGTGACTGAGCCTGTGGCCCCCAAAGTACTGCAGTATTTACATATCTGCAGTATTACCAAGGGAAAAACTGCAGTATTAAGTTGCTGCTAATGCAACATTTCCTGCTGCTGCAGCTTCACATTAAAAGCATCTAACTGGTGAAACACCAGTTGACTGTTATTATGAAGGAGTCTGATTTAATCTTTTTTTTTTCTATTCACATTATCTAACTCCACAGTACTTAAACTTGATTCATTGGAGTTAATCATTTTCAGGTGATTGTTTAACACACTATATGAAGGTGTGCATATTTTTTATGCAGCTTCTTTTCCTCAGGTCAAATGGGCCAAAAATGTTGTTTTAATTTAACATGCTCTATCATCTTCCCAGCTAACGTTACTGTTCCCAGCGACTTGTGGATCGACGGCACATTTTTATGGCTCCATCAACAGATAATCTTCCATTTGCAGCCCTGATCATCTAAGAAACTGATCAAAGTCTCTATATTTGAAGACGTCCCACACTGTCAGTAGTTTCATCAAGATCACTGTAAATGAATGTGTCAGCTTTCCTTTATGTTCTGGTCCAGTGGCCAGTGCTCATTATTATGAGGAGTACACTATGATTATTCCTCTTCACTGTAACTCAAATACAATCGTTTTTTCCTAGACAAACTACTTCCAGGTGACAGTACTGGCAGATTGAGGTTCTGACATAAAGAACAGTGTGAGACTGATGCTAAAGAGAAGACATCAGCATTCCCAAAGGGTCGTCACCAGTTGGATGTAAAGGAGGAAACAAGATGAATTGATGTGGAGAGAATTATCGGTCCACAACAAATACTGTCTTCAAAAAGTCCTATAAATCTGGTTCTCCATGTGAGGATGTGATGTTCTTAGACAAAGATCTCACAGTCTGCTGTGGTCGGACAAATATATGTCCAGGTGTTGTGCTGTGAAGCTAAACTAGTCTCTAAAGTTGAACAAAGCAAGAGGTCATGTATTGTGTCTCCATGAGAATCTGACTTGCAGGATAATCATTGCTGTTGCTTCCGGTTCTGTTCAGTTTATCTCTTTAACTTCCCCAACTTTTTATACAACAGCATACCAAAGACTTTAAATGACTTTCATCTGTTTCTTCACAGGGTGCCTCCACAAAGATTCTTCTCTGAGATCACATAACCTGCACCATAACATAAGCTGGTAACATGCTTCAGCTTCAGTAGCTCAGTATTAACCAGCAGCTTCACCAGCCAGAAAAAACACTGAGTGATTAAACACTTTACGTGACGGTTTATATTCTCTCCAGCTGAGCTGTCCAACAGATTCTCCTTAGCTGAGGCCAACACACTGTTCATCACTTAATGCTAATGTTGTTATCTCTATTCACCTGATAGATGCCAACACAGTGAAAATTGATTTTAAAAAAAAGCATTTACCAACCATTCACCACATGCTCAATTAAAACAGCGATCTGAGTGACTTAACTTAATCTCAACAGGGAGTTTGTTCCATTCCAATGCTGACGTGTCAAAAAGGTGTTTTATAGCTCTTAAATCTACAAGGTACCACGTCCATGGCACTGCCGCTAGTTGAGTAGCTATGAGAGTTCCTGATCTTAAAATAGTCTTTAAAATACCATGGCTCGTTCCTATGCAAAATCTTTGTGTTAATCTCAGTTTCAACTGCCTCACTGTGTTTTCAACTGTCAGCCATTTTACATTCTTAAATTCAGAAGAGCCGACATGGGTCCTATTATTGAGGTCAACCTGACCAATTTATTCTGTGCCGTTTGAAGTTGAACTTTTAACCTCTTGGAGGTGCTGCTGTACCATGTAGTACAGGCATACTCAAAGTGAGGCTGAATTAAAACATTTGCTAACATTCAAAGTTTCTTTATTTTGAAAATGAGCCTTAAGAAAAAGAATAAGAAGATATACTTTATTAATCCCACAAGGGGAAACTCAATGTTTCCACTGTTGTTAATTGTTAGTATTTTTTTACACACACAGGTCTGAAACACACACACATGCACAAACAGGACCTATAGGCACAACACATGGAGAGATGTCAGAGTGAGGGGGCTGCTGCTTGGTACGGCGCCCCGAGCAGTTGGGGGTTCAGGGGCTTGCTCAAGGCCACCTTTGGCAGTGCCCAGGAGGTGAACTGGCACCTCTCCAGTTACCAGTCCACACTCCGAATCTGTGGTCCGAGCTGGACTCGAACCAGCGACCCTCTAGTTTCCAGCCAAGTCCTTACAGACTGACCCTTAAGTGCCAGAAATTTAATTCTTTAGTTCACTTTTGTGATAACCCTTTGACCCATACTTTCTCCACTCAAGGAAATATCTAAATCACAGCCTACATATTTAACACAAGTCTTTAGCTTCAATCTGGGTACCACCAACCTTATTTTTGAACAAAATAAAAAAGATTAATTTTTCCCCAGATGCAAGACAATTGGTTCTCCACAAGCCATCCTTTAATGTTCTTCAACTTAAATGGTTCTCAATAACTTTCTTATCCTTATGGGAGAACACCAAGGCTGAATCGTCCACGTAGAGAAAAAGATTACAATTGCGGATTTCTTTTCTTACATAAACAAGAGAAAGAGCAATGGACCCAGGACACTACCCTGCGGCACACCACATCTGCTGTTGATTTCAACTCTTTTATGCTTCTCAGTCAAGTATGATCCAATCCATTCACATGCCTACAAACCCAGGGCTTTTAGTTTAATTGGCAGAATGTCATGGTCCACGGTGTCAAATGCTTTCTGGAATCTAAAATATTCTGCCACAGAGTTTACCCAATTCGATCTCTTTCCTTATATAGTGTACACAACACGTATCTGTTGAATAAGACACTCTGAAACCAGATTGCAATTTATAAAACAAATCAGAATTACTAATATAGTCATTATTTGCTCTTGTATTATTTTCTCCAAGACTTTGATACAACTCCCAAAATCAAAACTGGTCGATAATTGCCCTCTTCTTATTTATATTTCATCTAGACCAGTTGCTTTCAAACACTCAAGTTCATTCAATAACTTTAAGACCTGTCCTGTGTAATCATAGAAAGGCCAAAAGAGTCAGCTACCACTCCAAGCTGAGAATAAACATGACATTACCGTCATATAAACCAGGTTTTCTAGGCAGTTTATCAACTAAATTTCCAGCTACGGATGTAAAAAAAAAAAAAGGTGTTAAATTTATCCGCAACCCTTAATTAATCGGAGGAGAGTTCCTCATCGATGTTTTTTTTCTTTGTCTTGAGTCTTTTACTGTAACCAATTTGTTTCAATGACTGCAAAAGTTTCTTTGGGTTACCTTTATATTCAGTAATTGTCTCACAAAAAAATACCTTTTACACATTTTAATCATCTTTTGCTCCATATGTCTTAGATTCTTATAATTATCCAAATCATCCTGCTCTTTAGTCGTCCTAAAACCTCTAATAGTTTTTATAGGAGCAACTTTATCTACTGCCTTTAAGAACAAATTTATAAACTGCTCCCATGTTTCATCAACATCCAAACATAACACTGAAGTCAATCCATTGGATTTAAACACTCAATAAAGACCTCACAACTATTATATTTTAATGACCTGATCTTAATTGTATTTTGTTTCTTAAATGCAACTTTATGCTTTTTCCTTGTACAATTTACAACTTCACTCTGAGAAATCATAGAGTGATCAGATACCAAGATGAGATTAATGACAGTTTGACTCATATTAGACACTCGTCTGGACGCTTGTATTAACTACAATCCCTGCAGGGGACAGAAGATTCTTCCATCAACTGATAAAAATGACTTTGATCAGGATGTCTATACAGAGCCCCAATTAATAAAGGCTTGCTTTTAGTTAACTGTACATCAAACCCCACAGCTTCAACAAGATCGTGATTTAAATGCATTCTGCGACTAAAACAAATATCAGCCCTAATATAAACACAACCCCATTAGGGTTACGATCTTTTCGTAAGTCAGGATCATTTTTAATTTCAATTTCTGTATTGCTGATTGAGGCGTCCAGTCTGAAAAGCACACAATCCCAACTTTACTATTGCACATCATTAATCTTATCTCATCTGATTTAGAAAGAACACTGTGAACATTGAGGTGCATAATGTGCTGACCTTTAGTGAAACTGAAGTCCAGGATCTGAGGCACTGCCTGTAGATCTCCCCTGACCCCTCGATCATATATATTGTATTGAGGATATCTTTAAAACACTATTTAAGGATCTTTCTTCTTGTTTCCTCAGTTTCCCTCATCGCAGGTTAACTAACTCAGAGTTTTCTGGAAGAGGCCTACAGAGCTCCACATAATCCAGTCTCCATGCTGGACTTGTTCATGACTTATGTTTTAATTCGGTGTGTGAATGTGTTTTGCAGCATGTTCACTGCAGCAGCTGGAGCAGAAATGTGGTGTTGTGTACAAACAGTGTGGACTTATTGGACGCATTATATCAAACAATTTGGAGACTCAAAATTCCTTCTGTCTCTCTCTGAGAGAAAGAGGGGGGTGAGATATCAACTCTCAACAGACGGCTGAAGAGACCCCAAAGGAAGAGGTGAAAGGTTTGCTTGCCCTAAGTGCTGTTTCTGCGTAGTTTGATCGTAAAACTGGCCACTTTTGGCAGCAGCCGTGATAAGGCTCGGTGCCTGACTGTTAAAATGACAAAGACACACCAGAGATTACGAACAGCGTATCAAAGCTCTTTGGGAAAGAGGACAGGGAACCCTAAACTGCCTCCCCACACATGTAACCATGGCAACTGACCTCCCTCTTTGTTTAATTACCTCACATCAAAGGATATTCCCCTCTTCACAGCCAGATGTGAATTCGTGAGAAACTCCAGGACACCAGACAAAGCCCTGAACTCTTTGTGTAAACACAAAGAGTTCTGTCTCCTCAGAACTCAAAGCATTACCTTATTTAATTAAATAATATTTAAGTTACTTAACTAGGTCTCTCCACTCCATTTTAGAAGTTATGTTACCATGTTGTTGATATTGTTGTTGAAAAGAATCTAAATAAGTTAATTTTGCAGTGTTTTAATTTTCAGCAAGGTCACCTGACTTTGCCTCATTTTATGTTGTAACCAATGCTTTGTTCCTAACACTTTATGACACTTCCTTTAGGAAAGAAATGTCATCCTATACTACTCGAGTAATTTTTCCTCTCTCTCGCCCTGTTGTTCCTCGCTCCCTTGTTCTCTTCAACTGCCCGTCTCCCGGCAACGCCCTGAGAAGTTCGACCCGGCGCAGCGAAGGCCTTTTGTTCATTTTCAAGCCACACACGTGAAGCGACACGACCTCAGCTTTCCCTCGTTCCCAGCATCTTACTAGCTTTTTGTTTGTTTGTTTGTTAAAAGTTATCAGACCGTTAACTTACAGAATTTTAATTCAAGAATGACAAAGTTATTTTTTTAGCTTTATTTGTCGAGCTAACTTGCACTGCTCCCACCGACGTCTGGACCCAGTCACGTGGCCCCGCCAGTAGTAACAAAAGACATCCGACAGAACAGCCTAATTGCCAGACTGAGGACGGTCAACACTGGAGTGTTTTTCTTCATTCAGACACGGAGAACCCCCGGAAAATTCCCTAGCAGACAGCAAGAAATCAGGCAGCTAGCGTGGGGACCCGTGCAACCGGCCAAGGCATGGCAAACAAGGCATTCTGTGATCAGTGATGTCCAATAGTCGTTTACTCCAGTATATTTAATCCATGAAACTCCTACACAAATTTAACCGAGTTATCACCTAATTGCTTTCATTAGCTGCCCGTATAAGTCAAATTCTCCCCACAATGGAACTCAACATTCTTTGTTTGCCCCATGTTGTTTAGCCATTGTTTATTCCTTTGATGTATATTTACCACATTTTTTATGTCACCTTAGTTAGTTAATAAATTTCACCGTAATCAAAGGAATTGTGTGTGTGTATTGCCTGTCTCCAAGTCCCTGCCAGGAGAATTTACCCCTTCAACATAAGACTGACTGATTGATTTAAGATAATTTAGCGATTATTAACTAACTGATCACTAGTGAATAATTGTATAATTATTAACCCTACCTAGGGAATCCCGAGACCCAGGCTGAACGGAATCTCGAGTGGTGCCCCGCGAAACGAGAGATTTCTGAATTAATATTCTCTGAACATGTGTTTGTGGCAGAGAAAAACTTCTAGTACTCGTGAAGCATTTTTCTTTGTGACTTCAAAATCACTGAAAACACATGTGGGACTATTTTCTACATCTACAGGTTCCACTGTCACAGGTGTTCAGCTGTTCTGCTTCAATAACACCTTCATATGCTGGAAGTGTAGCAGTAGTGACATACCTGACATGAAATACTGCCGGAAATGTACCAGAAGAACCCCAGCAGCAACAAGACCAGCAACCAGGAGAACCAGGAGAACCAGGAGAACTTTGACCCAGGGTGGAAATCGTTCTGTGGGAACCAGAAACATAAAGAACATGACCTCTGACCTCTGACCTGTATCTACAGCAGCTGTTAGGGTTTGTTGCTGACCTTTGACCTGCAGCTGTATCTCTGCCACTCTCTGTTGTCCTCCTAACGCTCTGACGGTGCAGGTGTAGCTGCCGCTGTCAGAGAGCTGGAGTTTTGTCAGCTTGAGGCTGAGGTCTCCAGTTTCCAGAGCATCAGTCATCATGGATGTTCGGCCGCTGTAAAGCTGGTTTTGGTCTCTAAGTTCATCACCTTCCTGCTGACGCTGGTGGACGGTTGGAGGATCGAGATCATAGCGGCTCCACACCACTGTGGGGTCGTCTATGTCAAATGTTTGAAACTCACAGGGCAGCAGGACAGACTCCTCCCCCTCATACAGCTCCACAGCTGAGGCATGCTGGGAAACTGTGAGGTCACACAGACAGAGAGGTTCAATCACAGCAGCCTTATTTCATCATTTACCCTATAGAGCTAAATCGATTTTGATACATTTGTGTTTATATATATATATATATATACACACGTGTGTCTCACAGTGAATGCCTGAGACTTGTTTGCCAGTAAAGTTCCTGTCTGTTGTTGTGGTGTTCGCTGTGCAATGAGTTTAAAGTTTGTCAGAGACCAAAACATTATAATTCACCGATATACTGAACATTAACTTCCTGCAATACAAGTATCCGTGACAATGCTGCAGCTCTGTTACAGTTTCAGTGTAAAATAAATATAGTAATACTGTCAACAGCCCTTCTGCATTCATATAGACTCACAATGCATTTTAAACAACTCAGAGTCTCACTTACTTATATATGAGCTTTAGTACGTCACAACACCAGTTACAGTCAAAGTCAAATGTTCAACGTAATTCATTTTCCCTCTATACTTTTATTATATTCTCAGCTGATTTATTCCCTCAGTAAACACTTTCCTGATGAGTTTATGGTCTCAGTCGCTAGTTTCAAGTCTTCTTCAACACAGCATGATGTTCATTTAGTAAATTATGGTCACACCTGCACTGGATTTAACCAACTATGTGTAAGTTCAAACTTAGCCTAGCTTGAATGTAATTTCTAACTTAAGTAGGAGTTTACGTGCTACCAACGTTTTAAAGGTTGCACCAGCTGAAATACGTCCAACGTAGACATAAGTTACAACTTTAATCTTACACCTAGTCCTTCAAAGGTGTACAGTCCTCCATAAAATAGTCAAGTGGTTGTCATGGCGCATCATTTTGAAAGGTGGGGTGACTGGGATCAGGAGGAGCAAATTATGCAGACTCTTCTGTATAACCCAGCGCACACAGCCTGGATGATCTCATTTTGGTTAATGAAGCAAAATGCAGATCACAGACTGGTTAAGTTATGAAGGTATGATTTGAAAATGTAACGAAATTAAGAGTAGATTACTAGCCCAAAGAAAATATTGGATTAAAGATTAAGATATTAATAATAAAGGATCGTGAAAAGGCAATGACTTATTTTTATTTATTTATTTTGCAAATTTGCGTGTCTTGTAACAAGTTACTGCCCACCCTGCTGCAGGCACCCTCACTGCTGTCTTCAGGTAGGCTGTAATAAGAGCAGCACAGAAGAAAACCCAGCAAGCAATTTCACGCTTAAAAACAGAGCCCAGACGTCTAGGCTAAAACAGGGCTGAATTTGGGCTGTCAGTGAAAGTTTGGTAGACGTCTAACCATAGCCCAAGAATAGTCTAGTCATCAATTAGACCACCATTGAACGGCGACACATAGACGTGTATTAGATGTTGAAAATGGGTCTGGGCTAAAACAAGGTTGAATTTGGGCTGTCAGTGAAGAGTTAATAGACGTTTAACCACAGCCCAAGTATAGACCAAATATACAGCTTTTAAATGACTACATATCTACCTCTAATAGACAACAGAATAGTGGCTTACGGATTGTTTTTACTCAAACAAAACAGGTTCTCACAAATGGTAATCCGTCCAAACAAATTAAATATAAAGATTTTATTAAGAAAAAGGATTACAACGTAGACAACTTAAGATAATACAACGTGATGAAAATATAAAGGAATTATTGCTAAAATATTATAAATACAAAACCTCTCATATATATGAAAATACAAACAATTTTAACAACATGCGGCAATAAAAACATAAATAATGATAAAATAAATTGTTTGGCTACATCCAAATCTAGATCTTCATCTACGCTGCTACTTGATACAGGAAGAGCATCAGATGGGTCTCTCGGTTGGCGCCAGTCTCTCGGGTAAATGGGATCCATAACTGTTGAATATGTAAGAATATGAATATAAGTAACCATTATAATTTGACTATGTTGACTGTTTTCCCATAAGACATGACTACTATCATCAAATGATTTTAAATGAAAACATGAAGGTTAAAAAAAAATCATTTATAACGTTTTTTTCTTTTTAATTTAAAAGTATTTATTACTGACCCATTTATATCTATGGAAAATATAAAGATACTTGAACAGGACACATGTTTTAGCCATGTTGCATTAGAACAACAAAATAGAAAAGTTGCTTTTCTTTTGAGAGAGCAATGTGCGGTGAATGTAATGTGTACTGATATTTATTGTACTTTGCTGACTGTATGCTGGAGAATTTGCAATAAATATTTAGTGTCAAAAGTCAAAAACTCATATTTTCATATCAAAATGATCTAGTGAGTAAAATATGCGTGGCTTTCATTACAAATTATAATAGGTAAGGTTGCACATGTTTCATGTTCACCCCTTCTGAATTCAGATAATGTAAGAGTTTGTAAGGGCACGAGGAAACCCGTGGGTATCATGGAGTAACGTTAAGTTACACTTGCATGCAGCATGTTAAGCTAACCACAACATGCCTTACTCTACACTGTTGTCCCGGTTCCTACACGTTAACATATAATGTAGATAAAAAATGAAGACATGTCAAAAAAGACACAGATACTTACAAGACCAAAGTAAATGTCTTTTTGCTTCCAGTGTTTGCAGTAAACTCTTGCCCGTTGCTCGCTGAAAGGCCGAGGTCGTAACGTCTCCCTCGTTTAAAAATGGCAGATGTCTTTATTGCGAGATGTGGCAACTCTGATGTCTACCAGGGCCGTCCCTGATGTCTAAATTTCAAGTCTCGCGTTGCCAGTAGTCATGTGTAGTAGGGCTACAGCTGCCATCTAGCGGTTGAAAATAGTAATTGCATCTTGTTTTAAATTAAAATGAAAGTCAATGTAGTGAACGTTACAGCGAAAATAAAGATAATTTAAATGTTTACTTGCATTTGATTATATGATATCACGCAGCTGCATGGGTGAAAACTACATGTAACCTATTTGGTCTGAAACAGGGCTACAACCAAGCCGTTGCTATAAGACCACTGATTGCCTCTATTTCGCCGGGTGGGCTAAAAGCAGACTACACGTAGCCTGTCCAAATAAGAGCTAAATCGTGGCTACAGATAGACCATGTCAATTTAATGACACTTAATATCTTGTAGATATTACTGACATTGCAAAAATAATGGGATATCAACCATCTCACGTGCTGCCAGGGCAAAACCCCACTTTTAATCATTTTTGACTTTTTTGACTAAAAGTGGGCTACAAATAGCCGGTCTGTCTACGAGCTAAATCGTGTCTACGCACAGGCTGCACGTAAATCATGTGTAAGAAATGAAACAAAAAACCTTGTAATCACTGTAGACCGTGTTTAAATGATGGAATATCATTCACATTGCAAGTTATTTTGGCAAAAATGTCATGTAACCACATTTAAAGTTATTGCGGCTAGTAGTGGGTTACTCATAGCTGGACTAAATCAGGTCTATAGTAAACCTAGACGGTGAAATGACGACTATTGCTTGCTGGGAAGTACTGTAATATTGAGGCACTGAACCTGCCCCCAGCAAACTCGTATTTTTTCTCCCTTAACTTTTCAGCATCTCCTTTGCGTTGTGTCGGATGTTTTCTAGGCCAAACCGTTTAATTATGTCTGATGTGGAGTGATTGATGGACTAGCCACTCATAGTAAACCTTCTTGCCTAGTCAACTCCGAAATCGCTGGAGAAAAGTGGGGGGGGGGGACAAAACATAGATTTTGAAATATGAGGGGGATAATGGCTCCTACAAGTTATAATGTTACAATTTCATCTGCCCGTTATACTTTGAGGTTCGTTACGGGCACCGTTACATTACGTCTATGTTGTAGTTAACGGTTTTACCACTCGATGTCACTGTGAGACTAGCTGTAGGTTAAGGTTTCATAGTTGTCACCTAATCATAATTCTTTGTCCTTGTCTACGCACCTTTTTGTTGGTGTTTTGTTTTGTTTTTAGCCGTTAGCCTCTTCAGTATTGCAAACGTTTAAAGAGAGAGAGACCAGCAGATGACAAAACCGTAATAAACTCTGTTAAGAATAGTGCTGTTCACTGATTGGCCATGGGATGTGTCAACGTCATTTTCTGCGACACTGTTTTGATGAGTATGGACTTTATGCCAGATTAGCTAAGATGCACCTTGTATCTCTGTGGTGCAATCAAACAAACATCAACACAGCTTCAGTCTCAAACTAACTAGTTTCAACGTATTGTTTAGTGTGGACTTTGCACCCTAACTTAAGGTAGAACTTACGTATCGCTGGTGCAAGAGGCTGCTGGTCTACAATAAATGTCAAGCGTGTAGATGACATTTCAACACAGACGATGGGGGTAGGGGGACATCTTTGTGCTATATTCATTTTCTTTTGTCAGCCCAGGAGAGCCATTGAGTGTATGCTACTACTCCTGATGTTTCTCAGTGTACCGTTTGCTGTTGTCTTTGTACTTGAGTGTATTTAAGGAGAGGGAGACCTCCAAAGGGAGCCTCAACCATCCAACCAGAGAACTGACATCTTTCTCTCCGTGGCCACGTATATAAAGAATTCATTGATTACATCTTTGACTCCGTACTTCTTAATGGAAGAATTTTCCCAGTTATCCAAACGAGCTAATTCTAGGTAGATAATGAGCAGGCTGGATGACCTGATTGCTGACCGCTGTAGCTTCACTGCTCCTAAACCTAGCTAGGTTAGATCAGATTTGTGTGTAAACTGTGTTTCAGAACAGAGTGTCAGGGCTGCAGGAAGATTAGGCAATGCACAATGGTGCTGGGAACTCAGTAACCTCCAATTTATTGCAAGACTCTGACCTCTGTACTTGCCAAACAGCCACCTAACCATATTTAATTGATGTTTAGAGTCGCCACTATCCCGTAGATGTACAGGGTCGGCAAAGGTGTTCACCACCAAGACCCAAATTAACTGGGCAGATGACAGGAAAACTGCTGACTCAGTGAGAAAAAAAGAGGTCATGCTTTGAAAACAAAGCTTTAACAGGTGGTGCAAAGATGTTGAAAAGTTAGTGGCATAGATGGTCAAAACCTCTTGGTGTCAATTTGTAATGCACTGAGGAAGCCCTGTTGCATCATTGCTGAACGGTGAAGGTGGGAACAGGGTATTTAACAGAAAAGTCCAAGTAAGAAGGTGGTTGCGGTGGATGGGTAGGCCAGAAACCGAGCAACAAAGCAGAGCATTTTAACTACCATGCATTCCAGCACGCATCATGTTAAGTCGGCTCTGCGCAGCGCCGCATGAAGTGAAACGTACCTAATGAAAGATGTTTTCAGCTTGCTACTCTGCCAACAAGTGGCAAAAATATGAAATCAATCAATTACATCAATTACATGAGGGCACAGGCCCCACATGCCTCATGTAATGGATTGATTTATTTTAGATTGAAGTGTATGAAACCTATTAGTATGTATCTCACCGGCATTAATACTGGTCATGTCAGAAAGGGATTTGACCGGAGTATAAGCACACACACCTATTTTATGTATGTTACCTGTGAGCCATGCAAACAATTTGCCATTGCTGCACAGTCACAGCTGACATGCATTGCTCTCACTACTACCTCTCCTTTAAAACGGTCTGTCTCTGTAATAAGCATGAATGGAACCTCTTCTATAAAAATACTCATAAAGTCTGTTAAGACTGCTGCTGGCTGGACATCTCTGGCTGTGCTCGTACTGGCTGAGGCTGCCTGTATTTCACCTGGGTCTGTGTGACCTGCTAAAGACGTCTGGACTGGGTCTGTGCTGGTACTGGATTTGGATCAACTGTGCTCGTACTGGCTTATGATCCAGCATCTACTCTACTGACAAATATAAGCATAGCCCCTTTAAATAATAGATACTTGCTAGATACTAATGTTATCAGCTGCATCAGGCCCATACAAACTGGCTCCCAGGTTTCCTTTAACATTTTCAAATGCTGTTTATACAGGGGCTGGGCCATATGGACAAAAATGTTATCACGATAGCTGGGTTAGCAGCGCAGAGGCTGACTCACTGCAGCTAGGCTCACATTGGACTTTCAAAGGAGAGAAAACGAGTTTACCTGACTGCTGTTCTCGAAAGTCACTGTGAGTGAGTTATTTTCTCTTCTTGTGCCCAGAAGGAAAGCCCCTCTGTGTTTATCAACACTTGCTTTCAACATTGACTTGTTTTTTGTGATATTTCATATCATTAACTACGTGCCTTTTCACATTAACCAGTAGTTTTATTTTGAAAATGTAACCGAACGTTGTATGTAGACCTATACTATTGCTAACTTCACCGGACGCTGCAGATGCAGCCAATTGTTGCTAACTTGACCGCGGAGCCCTTAACGTCCAGACACGACGCCAAGGGGTCTTGACAATCTTACTGGGGCACAGCTCATGGATACAGGGACACGTGCCCCAGTAAAAAGGGTCTGGCGACGCCTATGGCTGTCTGTATCAAGATCTATCAGCATACAACAAACTAATAGAATGGAGAGTTATTAGATGAGGAGCCGACCATCAAAACTATGAAGTTACTCTTTAAGGCACTTTTTCATAGTGGTCACTTTTCAGACTTTGGTCTATTTTGCTTCATGTCTTCTTTTACTCTAATGGAAATAAAACTTTAAGAATAAACTGTTGGTTTTAAGCCTACTAACCTCTGCTTATTTGCATCTATAGATTTCTTCTAACTAAATTACAAAGCACATTTCAGAGGGAAATATTCTTGATGTAAGTCATTAACTGGGGAAGTTTTGTGGTGATATGCTTATTTTCTTTATCCCATTCACCTGCAGTGACTTGTCAAATTTGTCACTCACTTCATTTACAAAAAAAAAGCATCCCAGAAAAAAGGAGTAGCATAGCTGCAGTACCGGAGGCTGCAGTTTCAGGACTGCAATCCTAGGACCGGAACTGCATTTCCAGTTGTTTACTTTGATACTGCCAGCTAGCTAGCTAGCTATGTTACTCTTTACAGCCACACAAAGGCGGCTTTCTCCTCTCTCTCTACTCCTCTCTCTCCTCCTCTCTCTCTCTCTCTACTCCTCTCTTTCTCCTCTCTCTCTCCTCTCTCTCTCCTCTCTCTCTCCTCCTCTCTCTCTCTCTCCTTCTCTCTCTCCTTCTCTCTCCTCCTCTCTCTCTCTACTCCTCTCTTTCTCCTCTCTCTCTCTCTCTCTCCTCCTCTCTCTCTCTCTCCTTCTCTCTCTCCTTCTCTCTCTCCTTCTCTCTACTCCTCTCTTTCTCCTCTCTCTCTCTACTCCTCTCTTTCTCCTCTCTCTCTCTACTCCTCTCTCTCTCTCTACTCCTCTCTCTCTCTCCTCCTCTCTCTCTCTACTCCTCTCTCTCCTCCTCTCTCTCTCTCTCTCTCTCTTTCTCCTCTCTCTCTCTACTCCTCTCTCTCTCTCTACTCCTCTCTTTCTCCTCTCTCTCTCTCTCCTTCTCTCTCCTCCTCCTCTCTCTCTCTACTCCTCTCTCTCCTCCTCTCTCTCTCTCTCTCTCTCCTTCTCTCTCTCCTCCTCTCTCTCTCTCTACTCCTCTCTCTCCTCTCTCTCTCTCTCTACTCCTCTCTTTCTCCTCTCTCTCTCTCTCTCTCCTTCTCTCTCCTCCTCTCTCTCTCTCCTCCTCTCTCTCTCTACTCCTCTCTCTCTCCTTCTCTCTCTCCTCTCTCTCTCCTTCTCTCTCTCTCCTCTCTCTCTCTCTCTACTCCTCTCTTTCTCCTCTCTCTCCTTCTCTCTCTCCTTCTCTCTCCCTCTCTCTCTCTCTCTCTCTCTCTCTCTCTCTCTCTCTCTGAGTGGATGCGTGAGTGTGGAGTGAGTGTGAGTTCGCGGAGCGAGTGAGTGTTTTTCTAAACTTTTTCTTGTTTCATGTCGGTTTAATGTGTTACTGTGTGTAGTTCTAAGGTTAGTTGTTGTTGTCAGGTGTGTGTGTTTGTTTGTTGTCGTGTTTTTGTGTCGGGCAGCGTTTCGCTGCTCGGCAGCATGGAGTTCTCCAGGCTGACGAGGAAACACGGACTTAAGATCTGTCCGGGTTTCCGCTGCTCCGTAGAGGAGTGTGCGTTAGCGGTGGCGGAGGTTGTCGGGGCCGGCAGCGTGAGATCTGCGGCCAGGATGAACGGGGCGGTGGTGATCTTTGTGGACGAAGTAAAAAAGCTAACGCCGCCATCACAAGCGGTATTGTGGTGAATGAAACGTTCGTACCAGTGCTGCCTCTGGCCTCACCGGCCAGAAGGGTGATTTTGTCTAACGTCCCCCCGTTCATCAGAGATGAAGTGCTGGAGAGAGAACTCTCCAGGCATGGGAAAATAGTGTCCCCTATTAAAAAAGCCCTGTCTGGGTGTAAGTCTCCTTTGCTCCAGCATGTGGTGTCTCACAGGAGACAGTTATTCATGATCCTGAATAACAGCAAGGAAGAGTTGAACTTGTCTTTTCGGCTGAAAATTGATGGGTTTGATTATGTTCTGTTTGCCACGTCAGACGTTATGAAGTGTTTCGGCTGTGGAAAGGAGGGTCATGTGATCCGAGTGTGTCCAGAAAAACCTGCTGGTACTGAATCTGGTCAGACTGCTGGAGAGGGAACATCAGGGCAGAAGGAAGCTGGAAAAAAGGGAGGAATAAGTGACAAGGAGCAAAGAGGCAGAGCTGAAATGAAGAACAGGGAGGAGGAAACAGGTGGAGACAACAGTGGTGATGGTGAACAGATGGAGGGAGGAAATCAAACTGTTAGCTGCAGAGAAAAGGACACATCAAACTGTCAAAGCATCAGTGATGAGGGAAACAAGGCAGGTGAGTCTCAACAGAGCTGTGAGACTGTGGGTGCTGATATTGAAAATAATGAGGAGGAGGAAAATGGGGAGGATGAAGATGAGGAGGAGGAGGAGGAGGAGGATGAGACGCAAAATAGTAAGACAGCTGGGCCAGAGGAGATTTTGGCAGGAAGTGCAGATATAGACATGGTTGGTGAGGAGAGCAGCCTGACAATCACTCGGCAGAAAAGAAAATCTGAAATCGACAGTAAAGGCTCAAAAGCAAAGAAGGTTACAGTCAGCAAAGACAAACAGAAGCAGAGTGTGAAGGAGTCGATGGCGGAGTATGACTCCAGTGTGGAAGGCCGTTTTGATGCAGACAGTGAGAGTGATGTCTCACTGAACAAAATAACACCAGGAGAGCTGAATGAACAGATTTATGGGGTTGAGAAAATCAAACTGTTTCTACAGAAAACAAAGAACGTAAAAGGGGTAAAAGTTGAAAGTTTCTTTCCAGACAAAGAGGCTTTTCTTAACTCAGTCAAGTCACAGCTGAGGGCCAAAGGAAGAGAGGGTTTAACTGAGCAGGAGGTTTACAGGTTGAGGAAAATAGTGGTGAAGATCAGACATGAACTTAATGAAGAAGATGGAGAGGAATCAAACTAAAGGTTTTCTTTTTCTCAGTCTGTGTGTGCTGTCTGGTTGTTTTTTTATTTTTTCAATGAGTGATTTTAAAGTTGCTCATTGAATTTAAATGGCGCTGCGGACATCAGGAAAAGGATGCAGCTATATGAGCTGATGAAGCTGAAAAGTGTTGATGTGATGTTTGTCCAGGAAACACACAGCGACAGGTCCAGTGAAACTGACTGGAGATCAGAATGGGACGGCGAGGTCGTGTTAAGCTCCTTGACCTCAGTGAGCGGGGGGGTAGCCATCCTTTTCTCTAAAAAGTTTCTGCCGATTTCTTATGAACTTAAAGAAGTGATAGAAGGAAGGCTGATGATGGTCAGAGCCAAGTTTGAGTGTTTCACTCTCACATTCATTAATGTTTATGCTCCAAATGTCGGCTCAGACAGAGTCCGTTTTATTAATACTCTCAGTGACACTCTGACTAGTTTTGGTTCAGATGATTTTTGTTTTTAGGGGGAGATTTTAATTGTACTCAGAATGATTCTTTGGACAGGAATCATGTTGAACCTCATGCTGCTTCGAAAAAGGCAATTAATGAAGTAATAAAAACACATGATTTGGTGGACGTTTGGAGGAGGTTGCACACTGAAGACCGACAGTACACCTGGGTGCATACAAGAGAAAATTTTATTTCTTTGGCTCGACTGGACAGGTTTTATTGTTTTAAACATCATTTTAGTGTTTTTAAGGCATGTAGCATTTTACCTGTACATTTTAGTGATCATTTTTTAGTGGTCTGCAGTGCTTTTATTGCAAAAACTGAAAAACGGAGTGCATACTGGCATTTTAACACCAATTTACTCAGTGATGCTAATTTCAAAGATGTTGTGGTTTATTTCTGGAAGGTGCATAGGGCTGAAAGGAACAGTTTTGTTTCTTTAAGACAATGGTGGGACTGTGGGAAGGTTAAAATCAAACAGCTCTGTCTACAGTACACTCTGAATGTCATGAGGGACATTACTAGATCAATGACGACTCTAGAGACTGAGATAGTGGAACTTTTAGGCTTGATTGAGTCCACAGGAAATCGAGAGCATTTTGAAGCCCTCAATCTAAAAAAGCTTTGTTAGCAGACCTGCTGGGCACCAAAGCCCAGGGAGCACTGGTTCGTTCACGTTTCCAGAGCATCAACCAGATGGACGCTCCGTCCAAGTTTTTCTTTGGCTTAGAAAAGACAAATGGGCAGAGCAGGTACATCCACACACTACAGTCAGCTGATGGGGAAGAACTCACGGAGCCTCATGAGATCCGGAGACGGGTGGTGCAGTTTTACTCTGAGCTGTATAAAGCGCAGCATGTGGAGCATGAACAACTGTTTGAGTGTTTCAGTGAAGGCCTGCCCAGAATCTCTGGAGATGACCATCCTGAGCTGGAGGAGCCTCTGGTTTTGGAAGAGCTGCATGCTGCCCTGCAGGGGATGGATGGAGGGAAGGCCCCAGGTATTGACGGTCTTCCTGTCGAGTTCTACAAGACCTTCTGGAAAGAGCTTGGTCAGGACTTGTTAGATGTGTTCAATGAAAGTTTTGAAAATCAGACCCTGCCTCTGAGCTGCAGGAGAGCTGTAATAACTCTGCTGCCGAAGAAAGGAGACCTCCAGGACGTCAGAAACTGGCGCCCAGTCTCCCTCCTCTGTTCGGACTACAAGATCTTGTCCAAGGCTCTGGCTAACCGGTTGAAGCAGGTGATGGAGGAAATCATTCACCTGGATCAGTCGTACTGTGTGCCTGGTAGGTCCATCACAGACAACGTGTCATTAATCAGGGATGTTTTGGATGTCTCTAGTTCTTTGGGCACTGACCTTGGTCTCATTTCGTTAGACCAAGAAAAAGCGTTTGACAGGGTTGAGCACCTTTATCTTTGGAAAGTTCTGGAGCGTTTTGGTCTCAGCCCACGTCTCATTGCTATGATAAAAGTTTTGTACAGAGACATTCAGAGTGTGCTGAAGGTTAACGGGGGTCTGAGTGCTCCCTTCACAGTAGGCAGGGGGTCAGACAGGGCTGTCCTCTGTCTGGGATGCTGTATACATTGTCCATTGAGCCCTTGTTACACAGAATCCGGTCCTGTATTCATGGTTTGGTTTTACCAGGTTTTAACACACCACACGTTTTATCTGCTTATGCTGATGATGTCATGCTCCTGGTCAGAAATCAAGCTGAAATTAATATTGTTGGAATATTGTGTCTGAGTTTGGTCTTATCTCTGCTGCAAAAGTGAATTGGACAAAAAGTGAAGCTCTAGCAGTTGGAAACTGGTTTGGTGGTCTTCCGGTCCTGCCGGGGGGTTGGGATGGAGAAATGATGGTATAAAGTATCTAGGTGTTTATCTTGGCAAAGAAGAAATGGTGAAAAGAAACTGGGAGGGCATGATAGAGACGATGAAAGGAAGGTTGAAAAAGTGGAAATGGCTGCTTGCTCAGATGTCCTTTAGAGGAAGAACTCTAGTAATCAACAACCTTGTAGCTTCAGCACTGTGGCATCGTTTAGCTTGTATGGAGCCACCTGCTGGCTTACTCTCAAAACTACAAGCAGTTTTAGTGGACTTTTTTTGGGACAGGTTACACTGGGTACCTCAGAGTGTGCTTTTTTTACCAAAAGAAGAAGGGGGGCAAGGCCTGGTACACCTAGCAAGCAGAGTGGCAACTTTTCGATTTCAATTTGCACAGAGATATCTGACTGGTTTTAAATACCCAGTGTGGAAAGAGTTTGCAAGCAGCATTTTAAGGAGAGCAGACAGGTTAGGACTTGACACTGCTTTGTTTTTAATGGATGTTGGTTATTTAAATTTGTCTGTATTGCCTGATTTTTATAAGGGAGTTTTTAAGGCCTGGCACCTTTTTAAGAAGAGACGGTTGGAGCCGTCAGTCTCCCTGTACTGGTTACTGAACGAGCCTCTGATCGGTGGATCCACAATGGACATACAGGACAGTGGTACACCAGGCCTCCATCACACACTCCGTTCGGCTGGCGTTACAACTCTCAGACGGATAGTGGATGTAGCTGGACCTGGTTTTATGAACACTGAGGCTGTGGCTGCACTAATTGGACTAAAATCTGTGCGTCACGTGAGGAACATTCTGAATGGTTGGACTAACAAACTAACAGCAGCGGATAATGAGCTGTTGAGGATGTACTGGAAAGGTGAGGAAGCTCCGGACGAAGAGGACCCTTTTCCAGAGTTGGGACTGGTACCCAATCTTGACTGTTGTTCCAGTCTATTGTTGGATGTCAGGCATCAGAAGGTCCCAGATCTGCACACGGTGACGGGTAAAATGATTTACAGGTGTTGTGTGAAGGTGTTGTGTAAAAACAAGTTAAATGGTAGAAGTGACACAGTGTGGAGGGAGAAACTGGGGGTTAGTAACGCTGTGAAGCCCACCTGGAGAGTCGTTTACAAACTTCCTTTAAAGAAGCGTACAGGTGACTTACAGTGGAGAATATTACATGGGGCTGTTGCGGTGAATTCTTTTATCTCTGTGATTAATCCCTCTGTCTCTGACGGCTGTCCTTTCTGTGGGCTGCTGGAAACTGTTTTCATTGTTTTTTAGAGTGCAGCAGACTGGGGGAACTGTTCAATGTGTTGGGGTGCTTGTTTTCTTCTTTTAATGAAGTGTGGTCTAACACTGCTTTTGTTTTTGGAGCAGGTTACAGGAAGACCAATGCAACAAAGTGGCAACTGTTAAATTTTATTTTAGGAGAAGCCAAACTGTCCATATACTTGAGTAGGAAGAAGCAGGTAGAAGGACGGCTGTGTGGGACGTAGTCCCTGTGTTCACCTCTCTGGTCAAAGCCAGAGTGTTAGTGGATTTTAAGTTCCATCAGCTGATGAACAGCTTGGATGTGTTTGTACGTCAGTGGTGTTATGATGATGTCATCTGTTCTGTGGTGGATGAAGAAGTAAGTTTTAGTCGTGTTTTCAGCTAATTTGATGTTTTTATTCGTGTGGAAGGTTTTTCTTTTTTCTAAATGTCAACCGGTTTTGATTCTCTGACTTATTGAGTGTTGCTATGTTTGTGAATCAGTGATGTTTTATTAAAGTGGTTTTTAAAAAGTCAAAGTCTCTCTCTCTCTCTCTCTCTCTCTCTCTACTCCTCTCTTTCTCCTCTCTCTCCTCTCTCTCTCCTTCTCTCTCCTCTCTCTCTCTCTCTCTCTCTCTCTCTCTCTCTCTCCTCTCTCTCTCTCTCTCTCTCTCTCTCTCTCTCTCTCTCTCTCTCTCTCCTTCTCTCTCTCCTCTCTCTCTCTCTCCTCTCTCTCTCTCTCTCCTCTCTCTCCTCCTCTCTCTCCTTCTCTCTCTCCTCCTCTCTCTCTCTACCCCTCTCTCATAAATTCATAAAGATGCTGTTTGTTCTGTTTTTGTAGTTTATTCCACAGAAACTCTATATTTGTTAAGCTATAAGATGTTCAATAAAAGGCTTCAAGTAGACCCAGATCAGCCCAGATAATCCTGATCGGAGCACCTCTACAGTTGTCTTGACATATGAATTTAGTAATTAGTTAATTGGTTTAAATGTAATGTATTACAGATTACAGAATCAGATTTAATTACATGAATAACAACAACAACAAATATTTTAAAATATACTTTTTGAGGTTCCTGAGTATTTGTAACTACGTTGCACCAAGTATAGCACATCACAAATAAAACATCTAATCAATAGTGCACCTTTGATGAGCTGGACCAATCAATTTAGTATATGGTGTATTACCTCTTTTTCTTATATACATGACAGAAGAATATAAAATGAATGATTTTTCAAAAGTGTTGACACCTAAATTGTCGGCTCATTAAAGAAACGGACACATGAGTTGTGTCAAATCTGATGCAACACCTGTTGTCCCTGAGCTGCTGCAGCACATGTGTTAAAATGTTAATGTTGTTTTTAACGGATCTGTTCTAAGAGTGTAGATCAAATATCATTTGAGACTGCAACCCACCAAAAATGCAAAGAAGATACTTCTTTATCAGTGCTTGCTCACCATGGATATGTCTGCAATCATTTGGTTCCACTAACGGTTGTAATTTTCCATCATAAAGAAGAATAAGAAGTGATCAAATGGTGCAATATGCATTTTCAGTAAGAGCGCAACAGCCATGTTTGATCTGAGACCCTGCAAATTCATGCAATACACAGGTATTAGTGTACTAAGTGTACTACAGCAAAGTGAACTAAAGGAAAGTAGAGGGAGCTGAAACAGACTAAGGATGTTAGGATGAAAGAAACCCAGATTAAAGAGGTGACGTTGGACTGAGGTGATGATCAGATCAGAGGGAGGAAGGTTATCTTACCGTGCACGAGGATCACAAACACCACAAACATCTTCATCTTCCTGTAGAAACTCCAACAAGCACAAAGTTAATCTGCTTCTCACTAAAGGAAGTCTTCAGAAACACAGTGAGGACATCAGTTCACAGCCAGCTGTCCCTTTCCTCCTCCTGATAATCTGCTGAAAACTTTACTTTCGATTTGAAAAATGTGCCGTAACACTTACAGAAGGACTGTGGGGTGCAGTTAGGGGAAGGAGTAAGTCAGGTCATGTGACAAGCAACAGCAACCAGATAGAAATGTTGTTTCATTTCAGTTCATGAGAAATAGACAATGTCACGATCCTTTCCTGAGTGCTGTGTTTTCAGGTTTGGGTTTGTAGCAGCTATTTAGTCTGTGTTTCGGTTCCATGTCTGGTATTTATGTCGTAGTATTTACTCCTTGTCCTTGTACTTCAGTGTTGTGTTTTTGATCTGTTATGTAGTCTGTCTGTGTTTTGGGTTTCAGTCATGTCTGGTGTCTAGTTTACTCTGTGTGTTTGTGCTGGTTGGTCTGTCTGTGTGTCTGGTTTTGTGGTTATCCACATCTTTAAGTTCCTTAGTATCTGTCTTGTCTCGTATCTTAGTTCTTAGTCCCGTACCTTAGTTTATGTGTACTTCTGTGTACTTATGTGAGTTCTGTTTTATCATTGCTTCAGTCTGTGTTCCTTGTTGTTCATGAATGGTGTTTTGCATCTGCGTCTCTCTGTTCCCCCCTGCTGTCTCTCTGCCTCGTTACCCTGATCCCAGTCACCTGTGTTGCTCCCGCCCTGCTCGTTAGTCCCTGTGTGGAAATGTCCGGTGTTTCTGTTCATTCCCTGTCCGGTCATTGTCGCGTGTCTGCGCTCTGTCCCTCGTTGTATGGTTGTAGCCTGCTCTGTCTTGTCTTGCTTGTTTCCTGCCTGTTCCCCATCAGTTCTTTGGATTTTGGACCATGCACCCGTTTCTGGATTTTTCTGTTGGATCAGCTTTGTTTTCTTGGACTGTTATTTTGGATTCCCTCTGCTCAGCCACTCTGTTTGTAAGTGTGCTTGCCCTCGGTTTGTTTCATTAAACCTTTGAACTATACCTGCTCCTCTCTGTGTCCTGCGTTTGCGTCCACCACCCTGCTTCCAACTTGCTCACCACACATAAACCCTGACAGACAATGGACCTCGTGCAAGAATATTTTCCTGTTCTTCTTGCAAAACTCTAAACATAACAAAATTATATATATTTTGTGTTAGAGTGGGTGCTTTGCGCCTGTGAGGATCTTTTTATGTCTTTTTCTGATTGGCTGGATTTGGAGGTTCAGCCTGGGGAGTGCCTGCTGCTGATTGGTCCATTCAAACATCCTGTCTTTTAAAATATTGGGTTTCCAGCAGTCTGACAGCAGCAAACCAAGCCCTTTGTGTTTGTTTAATGTGTTAGAGCTGTGAGATTAGAGTAAGTCTCCAGAGGGCTGTTTCACAAAACCAAGATAGCGGATTAAACCGGGATTTTCCAGATATCCTGGCTGAATTTAGCCCTGACTCGGGGTCACTGAGGCAGTAGCACGTAAGTTACTGTGGAGATTTATTCTGTGCAGCTAGCCTGCTCCAGACCAGGCTAACAGCCAGGCTTAGTTACTCCTGGTCCCTTATCTGTTCAGTCAGCAGTCACTCTGATCAGAAACCAATGTGTTGTCTCAGGTTTTCCATGTTCTCATGTTTGTGTTTTACATTATTTGTATAAGCCTGCAGGAAGCACACAACCTATCCTGCAAATTTAGTATTAATTCCTCGTCAGCCACAGCCTGTCGAAAAAAGTGGGCCAGATAATGTTTTTAACTGAAACCTGGTTGGACCAAGATAACAGTGCAGCTGTCCTTATCGAGTCTACCCCTCCCAACTTCACTTTGAGTGAAGCTAGAGTGCATAAGAGAGGAGGTGGAGTTGCCGACTCCCTCCAATGCAAAAAGATGTCTTATGGGAATTTTGCTTCTTTTGAATATGTGGCTCTTCAGCTGAATTCCTCTTCTCGAGCTATTTTTCTAAATATCTACAGGCCCCCTAAATACTGTGCCACCTTTTTTGATGACTTTGGTGAACTGCTGTCTATAATCTGTATTGACTTTGACTGTGCTGTTATTGTTGGTGATTTTAACATGTTGACAACCCCCAGGACAGAGGGACCAAAGAACTGTGTTGTGTTGATAATTATGGACTGACTCAACATGTGACGAGGCCCACGCACAATAAGGGGCACACTTTGGACTTGGTCATCTCCAAGGGTCTGGACATTTCCAAGGTTGTGGTGACTCATGTTGCTCTCTGATCATTCCTGTGTTTTCTTTGAGAGTGCTATCTGCGTGCACACAAATGTACAAACAGAGGTGATCACAAAACGGCATATCACTGAAAACACTAGTGAAAAATTTATTGAGGCTTTCTCCTCAACACCCGCCCTCTCACGGGTCTCAGTCAATGAGCTTGTAGATAATTTCAGTTCTAAAATTACAAATGTTCTTGATGCCATTGCACCAGCCAAGGTGAAGGTGGTCTCTGGTAAGATCTCCATGGAGAAATGCCACGCTGGTTAGAACTCAAAAAAGAGAGTGTTGAAAAGCTGAACGCAGGTGGCGGAAAACAAATCTCCAGGTTCATTATGACATCTATAAAGAGAGACTTCACATTTATAATTTAGAACTGAGAAATGCAAGGCGGTCCTTCTTCTCTGACATCATCACCAAAAACACTAATAATGCACGTGCCCTGTTTTCTACTGTCGACAGGATAACCAACCCTCCTGTGTCTGTAGCCTCTGACCTTCTATCCACCAGGGCCTGCAATGAATTTACCTCCTTCTTCACAGACAAAATTCAAACAATTAGACAAGCAGTCAGTGCCTCCATGTCAGTAACAGGATATGTCTTGTCCCTGTGTCCACTTGAAAACAATTCATATAGCATGAGACAATTTGATTCTATTAACCATAAAAACCTGGAGGACATAATACAACATCTGAAATCCTCCTCATGCTGCCTTGATATTCTGCCAACAGTTTTTTTTTTTTTAAATGTGTCTAAATGCATGGCCTCAGATCTACTACAAATTGTCAACATGTCTCTCCTCTCAGGTTTTTTCCCACAGGCCCTGAAAACTGCAGTCATTAAGCCACTCTTAAAAAAGAGCAATCTGGACAGTTCAATAATGATTAATTATAGGCCCATATTAAAACTCCCATTTTTAAGTAAAATCATTGAAAAAGCTGTTTCTCAACAGCTTAGTGCTTTCTTGGCACTAAATAACTGTTTTGATGTCTTCCAGTCAGGTTTTCGACCACACCACAGCACTGAGACGGCTCTTGTTAAGGTCTTCAATGACATCCATTTAAACACTCATTTTGGTCAGCTCAGATTTGTGATTACCTATAGCCACAAAGTAGTCCCTGTCCTTTAAGTAGGATTCAAAGCAGTTTAGTACTGTGCCAGAAAGTCCAACCCAGTTTTCAAGTCTGTCCAGTAATATGTTGTGGTCGACCGTGTCGAATGCAGCACTGAGATCCAATAATACTAAGACTGAAATTCTGCCACTGTCCCAGAATTTTCTTCAATTAAACAAGGATAAAACTGAAGTTATTGTTTTTGGAGCCAGGGAGGAATGATTGAAAGTCAGTGCTCGACTTCAGTCTGTAATGTTAAGAACCACAAATCAAGCCAGAAATCTTGGTGTAGTCATGGACTGAATTTGAGGAGCCATATTAAGACAATTACAAAGTCAGCCTACTATCACCTGAAGAATATATCAAGGATTAAAGGACTTGTGTCTCAGCAGGACCTGGAAAGGCTTATCCATGCATTTATCTTCAGTCGACTTGACTACTGTAACAGTGTCCTTACAGGGCTCCTTAAGAAATCCATCAGACAGCTGCAGCTGATTCAGAACACTGCTGCTCGAGTCCTCACTAAGACCAAAAAGGTGGATCACATCACTCCAGTTCTGAGGTCTTTACATTGGCTCCCTGTATATCAAAGAATTGATTTCAAAATCCTGCTGTTAGTTTATAAAGCACTGAATGGTTTAGGGCCAAAATACATTTCTGATCTTCTGCTTCGTTACGAACCATCCAGACCTCTCAGGTCGTCTGGGGCAGGTCTGCTTTCTGTCGGTTTGGATAAAAGCCTCAGCTAAATGAATAAATGGAATGTAATGTACTGTTTTCATTTGTGGGGATTGTTGACAAGCCATTGTCTTGAGAAGAGATTATTAAAGAAAAATGGTTTTTGGATGCCGTTAGCAATTGTGAGGATACTGAAATGTTGTACTGTGCATCCACAGCCATATGAAACCAAAAGTGAAATTCGCTATTTCAATGTAATTATGGAAAGGCCACAAAGTAGGAATGCATTATTTACACAACATTTTTCCAATAATTCAGCATATAGCTAGACTTCATTCCAAGCATTTTTCAGGCCAACGTACATGGGCTGTTGTCTTTTGGCTTAGGTCAGGCTACACAAAATTACCCATCTGAATTTGGGAAGCAAGACCAGGTTAACAGTTACATCATTTTATCACCTCGTCATCAGATTCTTGATGCAACAGCCTCACTGCACTACTCTGCCAAGTATTATAAAACAGTAAATTTTACAATCATGACAATCAATTCAATGTGTTACTTACTAATTCTCCTTCACCTTCCCTCTCTTTATTTGTTTATATGTTTTTTTCAGTGCAAAGACCTGGCCTCCATCCTGGCAGCCAGCCTGCAGATATGCAACATACATTGCAAACATGCATTTCCCTTGTTCTTGTTAAGTGTATTTTCTTTACATATTTCTTGTATTGTTCCATAACATTGTCATGTTACATCAGCTAAGCAGTTTCTAATGTAATTTGAACTTTATATTCTTCATGGTTTTTCTTCAAGCTTGTTGCAGCCTCTTTTATCTGTATGGATTCAATAAAGTGCAACAGTCAACAGACTTAACATTTCTTTAATTTGAAGTTGGAGTGCTTTATTAGGGGACATAGCTCAATATTGAAGAATCATTTATGATTTCTTATTAAAATAAATTTAAACTAAATGAGCAACTTCCCATTTTATTCACAGGCTGCGAAATGCCTTCATTTGTATTAGTAATCTTTCTACCTCTTGTGCTAAATTACAGTACCATGATTAACTATGAAATCATGCCATATCCTAATTTGCATAGCATACTATTTGGACTAACCTTATGTAGCAGTTACTCATCTTGAAGCTGATTGTGTGTTGACAATGTAAAATATTTGATGGGAATAAAAATGTGCATTTTACAAATGGGACTACATGCAACCACACGCACACACTTAGATAATCTTAAATACAGTGTTGTTTTTGGTACTACATTTGTTCATTTTCCATTTTTGTTATTCATAACAAAATTTAGTTTAAGCTATGACAATTTAACTATACCTAACAAAATAAATGAAGTGTACTATGTGACATTTTCAGATTTGATTTATTATGAAGTTTGGCAATCTGTGACATAACTAGTTTTTTATGGATGGTTTTTATTTAGGGGATGTTTAGGAGTAATTTGTAGCCTTATATTAGTAAGTTTAGCCTTTTACAAACAACGTGACTACGCACTGTAAATGTTTTAATTTACTATGGGTGTTTTTCATATATCATTGACCAAACAATACCATACACTGTTCATATCACTGACCACCTAACTTACATAGCACCTTAATCCTTACTAACAAAATGCAGTATTGCGTAGGTACTGATAACTGCAAATGCTAACATTACTAAGCACTCAGGAGAAATTTTATTTTTTATTTTCATGGCGGCCAAACAAACTAATTCTAATAAAAGAATATACAAATGCCTAAAGCTCCTTAATTACACTTAACGTAGCGCCTTCATTAGGAGCTACGTTACGCAACTCCGGCCGAGATTGAACACAACCCGAAACGCGTGTATATAGGCCTACTTGCTAAAATCGCCTTAATAAATCACCACCTGTTTTTTCAAATAAACCACATAAATTCAGTGTAATATATGCTTCGTCTGCAGTTAAACATTTAGATATTCTCCTGTTATGTGTTTCTATGAAAACCCTATTTTGCAAACCGGAAGAACTACTTACTGCTGATTTGTTTTGTTTTTAAGCTCTGAAAATATCTAAAATAAATCAAAATACTTTACTTTTGCATACCATACAACACCTAAATACAGTGTAAGTACTAGTTCGGCTGTACTAGATATTTAATATATTCAGTGCATACATCTTTTTACGACCCTATTCACAGCCTTACTTTGCAAACCGGAAAAACTACAAATATGATACTAATTAGTATCAAGAGGCGCGGCTAGAGGGAATTGTAGTTTAAAAAAATATGACTCAAGATACTGGAATTGGAATTTGTAAGTAATGAAGTAAGAATACATTGATGGGTTTAAGGGGTTGGGAATCACATAATAAATACCTTACTGTTAAATAGGTGAAGTCAAGTTTGAACCATTTTTGACAGCACCCCCTCTTGGTGACTCTATCCATATGGGTACAGCCATATAGCTGAAGTCAAGAGCTATTTATAACAGTTGGTTTCATGTCTGTGGCCCCTTCTGTTCCTGAATGACAAGCTTTCCAACATGCACCAAGGTGAAGGTTCAGAGGTCAATGTTTCAAAGCAGGAGCCATTTACAACCTTCAGACTGACATATGTTCCTCTCCAGGTCGAGCCCTTTCCAACAATATATTTGGTTTAGTCCTACGACAAAGTTTCAATTTTAACACTTCACAGACACAGCCTTGGCTAGTTTCATTGAGAACTTTGAGACTGCGACCTCAACTTGTATAGATTGTTTTAGAAATATAATATTATAACAATACTGCACACATGTATATACCGCAGCCAAGCAACAAACAGACTATTTGAGTGTTTTGGCCAGAGTCATGAACTTATGAGCATCAGCATTAGTATAAAAGATGCAATTAGGTGTCCAAATAGTACTTTCAAATGATGTCAGTGGTGGATGATGTTTTCAGATCATTTACTTAAGTAAAAGTACTAATAATTTACTGGACAAATACTCTGTTACAAGTAAAAGTAAAATAACGCATTGATAATGTTACTTAAGTAAAATTATGAAAGTATAATCAGGAAAATGTAAAGTATTGATAGTAAAAGTATTCAAAGCAGAAAGAAAATCGTTCTATTATCATGATATTATTATTCCTCATGTGTTGATGTAAAAGCAGGATTTTACTTCACACTGCTTGTTTCAGCATCACAACAAAGACATTTCTTTATACAGTTTTACAGGATGTAAGTGAAAAATGATTGGATTTGTCTGTCTGTATGTATGTATGTACATTTAGATGATGTCATGTGGAAAACATAAAAGAAAAACATTTAGGGTTTCAGTGCTATTTGACGGTATTCAGTATGCTTTCACTACTAATAACTACAAAATAATATGGGTAGTATATGCATATTGCATACAAATATAAATCCACATATATTATGGAAATACCAAAGTACATTAGAATTATACTATATAATCTAAATTACCATTGAATCTTCATTAGATTTTCACGACAATTCGATGACGACAATTAATAATTTAAAGCAGCAATAAGCAGTTTTGGTCTGCAACCAGCAAGTTCAACTGTTAGAAAAACATTGATTTATTTATCTCTTCTATTTTTTTAAATAAAATAAAACACCTACAGAATCTTGACATTCTAGCAAAACTTTCCTGTTGATACTTTGGTACAGCTAATTAAAACAGAGGCAAGGCAAGTTTTTCTGTACAAATCAGTTCCTCTGTGTTGTTTGGTAGTGGTCTTTAGGTGTCTTCTTCCTCAGACTCGGGGCTGGTGAAGCTATTGTCATCCCACTGCTCAATGTCCTCCTGTATGGAAAGAAAATCACATTCCATAGTGGCTGTACTGCTGTTTGCATTAACCGCCTGTTTGTGTTGACTTCTAAGTGACTGACCCCTCCGATTGAGGACACTGTTGAGTCCATGTGTCGCGTCCTCTGTCAGGTCACCGAAACCTGTAGAGGAATTGTGGAAAAAAATAGAAAGAGAAACATGACATTTCTAATTTGTTATGCTGAGTTTGCAACTTCCACATAACCTTTTAGTCATTATTATATTTAGTGTATTTACAACTTATACATTGTGCACACTGGTGCTAAATAGCTGGTCGGCACAGTGCCTGATCACAACTGGAGATTTATATATATATATATATATATATATATATATATATATATATTATAAATAAATACTAAAATTAACAGATCTTGTACATACTGCTGGTTTTGATGCGCTCCAAAGTCTGTCCTCTGAGTGACTCCACTTGATGTGCTGAGACATCTCCTTTACCAGGATGCTCTGCTCCTCCTCCAAGCGTTTCAGCAGCATTACCTGGTCGAAGATAGATCTCTCCAACCTGAAGGTGTTGCCTTTGGTTGTGGAAAGGAACGGAATAGTGGACAAGGAATGTTTTTTATTATATTATAACAGAATGATGTTATTTCTGAGACATCTTTTTAGCGACAGCATTGGTTCTGTAGAATACAAACAATTTCTAAATATGAATACAAGTCACAATAATATCATTTGGATGGACATCTTGTGAAATTGTGATGGTCAAGCATTTTATTTGTGATTACTACAGCAGAATAACATGGTGTTGATCTCACTATTCAATGTTTATGCTCCATGATAAATATTTCCATATTTTGGTATTCATGATATTTTTTATTTCAATGCATCATCCCATTCCTGTGTTGTTGCATGAGAAGTAACAAAAAGGACAGTGGTAAATATGGAGATGTGCTTGGAACCATTGCTACATGTGAGGATCGAAAAGGGATTAAAATTTGTAAAGCCAATGTAGAGTGATGCCATAGGCTTATACTATGGAAATCAACTAAAAGAACAAGCTAAACTAGCAATTCATCCATATCATAGCATCTTCATGTCTCTGCCATGGTAGGATGTATCCCTCTGTCAGACTGCAAGCCAACTCCTCGTCAATCGGATCTGCTTCCACTACGTGTTGTATTGCGAGACCTTTTCGCGAAGCTTCTTCTTTAACTCAGTACAACCTGGAGTGTAGACTCTCTCTAAATAGATTAAACAAAACAATTGGACAAGAGACACAATTAGTGGCATTTTCAAAATATAGCCACCTTCTATTATTTGTATAAAGGTACAGTCATCATAGACGTTAAACTTGTAGTTTAAGAGAAAACATGTGTACTGTATTATCCTAGGAATTTGGGAACCCTTACGCACGCGTGCATTTAGAATAGCTGAAAACAACTGAACTGCCTATTCTTTATTTGAACTCATACATAAAGGATGTACTTTATCCGTCACACCAGGCGTGTTACTAAGATGACAAAAACTTTTTGGTGTTATGGTTTCTATTAAGGCTCTTTGTAGCCACAGTTACAGTTACATACCTGCTCCACTTCCTGTCCCACTGTGTTTCCTGCTCCATCCTGGCTTCTGCCGCCCCATCTCACCTGCCACACAGAGTGAGAAGTGCTATGTAGCAGTACTTCAGAAGTATTGATATAACATCATCTAATCAGGCATAACATGCACAAATGTAAAGATAATCCTTTGCATTGAAGATTGCTTGAATGTCATATCTACATTAGCACAAACAATTATCTCTAAAACATCTCATGACACAAGCTTTTTATCCCTGTCCTACAAATTTGAACAAGCAGCTGAAAAGCAGTTGGTGAAAGATAACACACAGCACGTTCTATTATCCGACCCATTATTTCCCTATAGCTACAGCCACACCAGACTTAACGTTACTGCATTTTGCTGTATGGGCTTTGGCTTGCATGACGCTCAGGAATGGCCTCATTTCTGTCAATGGCAGAAGCTCTGGTAACCCCTCTGCTACGTTGTTGAGGTAGGGCCAGTACCTAAAAAGCAGGAGCGGCATCGTGTGAGCGTAACAAAGATCCTTTTTCTCTAACTAACATCACTGTAAAGCTGAGAAACAAGACATTTTAATCATGGAGTTGAGTGGACAATAAGGATTACCTGCATGTAACATCTACACAGAAGAAGGTAACATTTGCCTTCTTTGACATCTCTCTGAGAAGAAACATTGGGTAAGCAAATATTTCTCCACGGTAATGGTTTAGTCCTCGTAAGAGAAACCCATGTCTGATAAATCAGAAGAAAATCTAGTGGTTAAGAATCAATTAACCCAGTAAGGCCTGGCTTAAGCACACATCTCTGTCACCTGAGTGCCTATAACAAAATATATGATAAATACTTGGCCACTACTACTAAGGATGGATAAATACCACTCTGCAAGCAAACGTGTGAAATGCTTTAAATTTTTACTCAGAATAAGACTTGGACGGGCATTAAAACTCAAATATCAACCTCAAGAATCACACACACACACACACACACTTGAACGCCCTCCTCGTCTATCTGAGCACCAGACCTTTTGGATATCTCTCTGCCAGCGGTGAACTTGGCAGTACCGTCCTCATATATGGGTGGCTCCTCAGTCCTGTCCATGATAAGATAACATGCGTCAGTAGTACTACATTTACTATTTGTTAAAATGTATGTTATGATCACTGAAAGACAAGTCTAAAATAAACTTCTGAAAAATACCTATACCTACCCTTTTGACTTGCTGAAGCGGTAATGTTTTGGGTTTCCATCAGAGCAGACAGCCAACATGTCTGGAGAACATGCTGGACACTCAAAATGATGGACCTGGCACGTTTCCTCTCCTTTGTACTGACAGAAGGTAAACTCAAAAAAGCTTTGCTGAAATGTATCAGCACAGATACTGCCTGCCTGCATATTAAGAGATGTTTGGGTAGGTTTTTTTTGAAGCAATGCCCACAGTTAAATATTAGGTATACAGTAATATGATTTTGTTTATATGTTTCAGTGGTATTCAGGCAGACTTACCCTTCCAGCTTGAACAGATCTGTGCTCCAACATTTTCAGGAAGGCCTGCCTGGACATGGCCGGTGCCGTCACCTTCATATGTTCGAATGAGGTGAAGACATCAAACTTGTACAGGGTCTGGCAGCTGCTGCTAGCTGGCCAGTACCGATAAACAAGCAGGTCCTTCACCTCGGGGGTCCGTTCTGCAGAGCGGGAGGGACAAGATTTCCGAGGCAAGCAGAGATCGTATCGTCCTGTGAACAAGTGAATATACTGTAGTAATCAAATTGCAACAGACTGCCTTCTAAACAGAGATTCAAATATATGATATATTAGCTATTTGCCTGAAAATGACAGGTGATAAAAAGCTTTGCGTTGCACACAGTGGGAAAGTTCTATTGTACAATAGTACTTGCACAAAAAGGAGGGCTTTCAGAACAACATACCATTGATGGTGACCACAGAAATATGCTTCCCTGGAGTGATTGTGAGGTCACGAGTGCATTCACTAATTGACCTTGGTGCAGGAACAGGCAGCTGACATACTGCAAAACAGAAAGAAGTTATGAAGGGTGTATCTGCAGCTTCTCTTCGGTCCCTTAGATGCATTTCCCAAAACCTCGTATTCAAAATAGAGCTTTAAAACCCAACAATTAATCCAAACTGGCCACAGCACTATTCCAACTGTAACTGTCACTATGTTGAAACAACATGTAAATGCTGAAGCACATTTTGAAAAATATTAAGACGCAATTGCCTTAACTGGTCAAAGTTATGCTGGTCAGAACTGTCAAAACCAATCAGACTTTTGTTATTCAGCTATTAAATTTCACAATTGCACATTAGAGGTTAGAGAATAAGCTTAGAATGAGATTAGCATTTTAGAAAAAACATCTAAGCCATTTAGAAACACTGTTAAATATAAACACATGCGCTCTCTACAACAACATTTGAGGAATTACACTATCAGTGCAAGACGATTTGATATAATGCTAATTTTAACATACTTTGTTCACAAAACTGAGCCGGGCCATTTTCATTCACCACCACAGCACTTGTAGGGGGATGGGCTCCAGGAATCCATGGAACACAGCCTCTCTGTCATGGAAGACGTTTCTCTTGTGGGCCTCCATGTCACAGGCAGCACAGAGGAACTCCATGTCCAGCGGTACACAGTCCAGGCACCTAATCACAGCTCCTACAGCACGGCATCTGTTGTTCCCAAGCAGAAACCATTCTGTCTGTTCCCTCCGGAACCTGGACTGCAGTTATGGTGTCCCTTTACTCTTGGAGTCTTGTTTCTAAAAAACAAAAATATACATTCACTTGTCCTTAAAAGGTCTGAACTCATGATGATCACACACAAGTATATATCAGTGATACTCTGAGTCTGTAGTGGAACTCACAAAACATAATGCTTGATTATGATTAATTAAATGAGTAAATAAATGGTGGAAATTGGAAAAACTGTAGTGTAGTGTTACTACTGTAACGCTCAGTATTCTCACCAGGACTTGCCAACTCTTGATCTTCTATCTGAAGGCCTTCCTCATGCACAGGATCCCTTCTTCTGGATTGAGAAGCAGCTGCAGAGACAATCATTTTTGCTTAACCCTTTGATCAATATAACATGAAACCAATTCATTTCAAATTGAAAATATTCCATAAGGACTGGAGGCAGGGAAACTAAGCAAAAATGATTAAAACACAACACAAGTAATGATTATCAGTCGCATGCTCTTAAATTATATTTGTATATATATTAGTTAGAACATTCAAAGTGGTATCTGACTCTCATCTTATAATACGTGTAAGCACCAAAACACTGTTTAATAAATTATCTTAGATACAATAATGTTATAGTAAAGAACAAACCTGATCCAGGGCAGTGTGTTTCCCGGCGTTTCTCACATCTGCCTGTGACCAGTGGATTAGTGAGGGATCTCTTCCTGCTCTTCCTCGTTTTTTGGCAGCCTGCTTGCAGAGCACTTATATCAGCAGCACTTATAATTGAGCATTATTCAGTAGTTGCATAAAAGGGTCTAACTAACCCTTTACATCACATCTATAAACAGCAATAGCAATTAGTACTTAGGTATTTGCTTATCATGACAAGCCTTACCCTGGCATCATGGAGATGAGCATCACTAATTAATGCTGCCATGTGGATCCTGGCGTCATTGGGATCATCAAAGACCCTCACGTCAGAATTGAGGGACATCACATACAAATACAAACAATACAGACGCAATATAAAAACAATACACAAAATGAAAAGAAATAGAGTGATCTAAAGAGAGAGAGAGAGAGAGAGAGAGAGAGAGAGAGAGAGAGAGAGAGAGAGGCTCTTAAAAGTGCCGTTGTTTTGATTTGTGTGTGTGTATATGTGTGTGTTGGTGAAGTCGAAGTGTTGCAATAAAGCTGTAAAACAGGAAAAAGCCAAAGATTATTAGAATAGCCTTTGTAGTAAATGAGCATTTCTTAATTGTTAGGACAGAGTAATTGTAATTATTAATTAAATATTGATCAATCACAAACACAACATACAATACAAATCAATCCTTACTGTACAAATATCAGATTTGTGCCACATTCACTTGACACAAACAAGTACCTACACAAATCTAATTTTATTTAGGCCTACAAATAATGGAAAACAGTGGTCTTCTTCTGTCCTACTGCGTAAAGTGCTTCTTATATCCACTGCTGTCTCTTCCCAATGTCACAAATAACTAAAGTAACAATAACCCTCTTATCTCATGATGATTTCAGTGTCTTCTAAAATGGCAAAGTCTTACAGAAGTATGGCACCATGGTGTTACAGGATATTCTATCTATAAGTTAGTGGTGGGTCATCTCTTTATTTAATTATGCATTAATTACAGGTGCTGGTTATATAATTAGAATATCATCAAAAAGTTGATAGTTGTGATCGCTCAGAGGAGAGGAATGAGCCAGGAGAGGAGCCATTCTGGCCCAGCTTGGACTTAATTCTGCTCCTAGAGATCTGGTCTGGGTAACTCATACCAACGTTACCAACTCATTGTTGACCAAGCAACGGAAACCAGAGACTGTTGTGGCCACATCGTTACAGAGACCTGCCCCATCAACATCCCGGTTCAAGCACTCAGCAGGTGGTCCATGTTCCGAGTTGCGAGCGCAAGACTCCGGCAAGATGAGAGGAGGTGGACTCTGTTTATTGTGAAGATGAAACTTTCATATTATCATCTGGTTGCTGCAGTTTACATTCACCCCAGATGCAAATTCAAAAAATGGGTAAAAGGATGGATTAGCACAGCAGGTAGCAGGGATTGTCTGAGCTACAGAGAGCTGGAGGGCAGTAAAATGTGTTTTGCGGTGAAAAATATTCCCGGGCGGCTCAAGTAGCCTAAATATGTGGGGAACTATTTAAATTTTAATGTCTTCCAGCTGTGTGTCTAGTTACTTTTTTGGTCCAGTCATGATTAAGTGATACTGTAGTCTCATATAAATTGGATTCAACTGTGGTCTTCTATGAGGAGTTTGCACAATGTTCTGAGATGTAGTGAGGTGTGTGTGTGTGTGTGTGTGTGTGTGTGTGTGTGTGTGTGTGTGTGTGTAATTTAATCAAAGTTGTAAATGTAAATTTTTGGGCATATTTTCCAGGAAGGTGCCCAGGTTACGGCCCACTTGTGGCACAGATCTGGCATCAGGAGTGGACCGCCCAAGTGCCATCATTCCATGCGGTATGTGGGCCGGATTAAAGTGACAGGTGTGGGCCGGATTAAAGTGACAGGTGTGGGCTGGATTAAAGTGACAGGTGTGGGCCGGATTAAAGTGACAGGTGTGGGCCGGATTAAAGTGACAGGTGTGGGCTGGATTAAAGTGACAGGTGTGGGCTGGATTAAAGTGACAGGTGTGGGCCGGATTAAAGTGACAGGTGTGGGCCGGATTAAAGTGACAGGTGTGGGCCGGATTAAAGTGACAGGTGTGGGCTGGATTAAAGTGACAGGTGTGGGCCGGATTAAAGTGACAGGTGTGGGCCGGATTAAAGTGACAGGTGTGGGCCGGATTAAAGTGACAGGTGTGGGCCGGATCCGGGCCACAGCAATTTTGTTACCTGGGTAGAATGACATTTTACACATGAAAAATAAGAAATAACAGTAAAATATTGTTCTGTGACTGCTGCAACTTACAATAACAACTTTAACCATAACATATGATAAACCATTAAAATATGAGGATGGCTTTAAAATGACTAAATATGAACCCGTTAACTGTTTTTCTATTTTGCTTACTCAAATGCTTGCTGTGACTTACTGGTAAAACACATTATTTCCATCTGTCACATTGGCTCCAGCTGAGGTGAAGACATGTCAGCTCAAGTTTTAATGTTTCAGCTTCAATAAAAAATCCTCCTTTATCCTGAATGAACAGAGACGAGAAGAAAGTGAATCCAGGCGCTGTGTAAAGGGGACATTTCTTGGCGGTCGTCGCTTTAACGCTCACGTTCAGTAGGTACAGGAGAGGATGCTGGGAGCTCACCAGCGTTCTCTGCCAGGATGTGTAGAAAGAGTGAGCGCTCAAGTTCAGCATGAACCACGTTATAGTTTAGATTCACGTACCTGTGAGGATCAACATCTCTGCGTCTTCCTCTGTGATGTTCGTTCCTTTCTGAAATCAGGACAAACCCAAGCGAACAAGAAGCTCGGCCAGAAACTAGGACTTGTGTTTTGAACCTCATGTAAGCTTGTTCTGTTTTTATCATTTGAGAAATCCGGCCGAGGTGAAGTCTTTCATTTCAGCCGCAGACCGATATCCTCCCTATATACCTGTCTGAGTCAGAAATCAGTTCATCACCTACAGTTGGTCCAAAATGCTGCCGCTCGCTGCAGAAAATGTGAGAACATCAGCCCAGTGTGAGCGTCCTGCTTCCTGTTTCTTTTAGGACGCACTTTAAAATCCTTCTGATCACTTTTAAGGCCAGACATGCAGACTTTTCTTTTGTGCTGCTGTTACTCAGCCTGAAGACAGTAGTGAGGATGCCTGCAGCAGGGCGGGTAGTTAGACTTGTCCGCGGGGGCTGCTTTGTTGAAGGTCACTTCCTGTTCCCAGCAGGTGGCACTATGACTGTGGGTGAATGTCGGCATGTACATGTGTTCAGGGCAGGAGTCTTATTAAACATGTAAAATTTGGTACAGATCTGAACATGTACAGTCAAGTTACAACAACTTCCTGTGTCAGGGCAAAGCAAGTTTTAAAACATGGCTTCATCAATGCGTTATGGGTTTTCTGTGACAGTTTTGAAGTTGATATGTCCATGACCTGCTAGAAGTAGTACATTACAGCACAAAACGTGTCATTTCCTGTTGCCAGCAGGTGGCGCTGTGACTTTAAGTGAATATTGGCATGTGGGTGTGTTCAGGGCGGGACTCTTATAGTAAATTCCAAATTTGGTGCAGATTTGAGCATGTAGACTGAAGTTACAACAACTTGCTGTTTTATGACGAATTATCGATTTTGGACGCCACGGGCACACAGTTGCATGAAAACTCACTGTTTGTACAACTTTAAAACGTCAATGGTTTCAGAGTGAACAGCGAAAATTTGAAGTCGATCGGACAAAAACCCTAGGAGGAGTTCATTAAAGTACGGAGTGTGTAAATCATCCAAAAATGGATGATTTACACACGATGTACATGTGTTCAGAGCGGGGCTCACTTATTAAACGTGTAAAATGTGGTACAGATCTGCTGATTTGAATGGACCTCTGTGCACTAACTCAGTCTAAGTCTAGCTGCTTGTATCTGATGCTGCCTGCAGACCTCTGGCTGTGCTCGTACTGGCTGGGGCTGCCTTCACCTGGGTCTGTGTGACATCTGGACTGGGTCTTTGATAGTACTGGATTTGGATCAGTTGTGCTTCTACTGGCTTATGATCCAGCATTACTTCAGCCTAGCCCCTGTAAATTATAAATATGTAATGTAAATGCTCCGTACTTGTATAGCGCCTTTCTAGTCTTTTCGAACACTCAAAGCGCTTTTTACACTACATCTGCATTCACCAGTCACACACATTCATACACTGAGCCTAAGTGCTCAAACGGAAACTAACATTC